TGCTCGTGTGCTCGCTCTGACCGCTACACAATGCAGAAAAAGAGTGAAACTTTAAGTGTTCACCAGTTCATCTAAGTCAAAAACATTTATAGCTATTACTTTTTTCCAGCCCAGTTTTCTAAAATATATCTTTAAACTTTCTCCTACCGGGTCTGGGGAAATGAGGTGTGTATAGTCCGTGATTGAGTCTATTACAAGGTTCTGCAGCAGGGAGGTCATCAGTGTAGCTGCACAGTTAAAGAAAGACAGTAGCTTGGGCATGTTGCTGGTGTCCGGCACCAGATTGCGCCTGTACCCATTGTGGTAAATATTTTGCACTTCAGGAATCCAACTGTAGAAAACAGCAAAATCACAATTGAAAAATTATATTCAGGGAATGTGCAAATATACATTTAAAAAACTCAAACCCACAGGTGCAAATAGCCAAATAATGAAACAATAAATTGAAGCTTTAATGATACCAATGGGGGAACTGGGGTATAGGAGACCGGTGTAATAAGTGGCTTGTTGGTTTAGAGGTGAACTGAGTAGTGTATAATGAGTAATGCTGTCTCTTTGCACAAAATTACCATAATTCATTCACCTGACTAATGTTGCAGAGCCACGCTAATCACACCGCTGTGACCTTAATGGCTGCTGATTTCAAGTTTCTTAAAAAAAATTAAAACTGGCCCCCTGAATTACCCACAGTGCAATGTGCACTATGCACTTGGTTTTATTTCTCTAAAACTCCTTGTGAACTTTTGAAAGGTGAAGGGAGCTTCAATTCAATCTTCTATGCAGATGCAAAGTTGGCAACGCATTTATGTTAAGGAACGTATAATGTGAAAAGTATAATGTTTTTACTAAAGCAAAGTAATGTCTGCACACCTTAGCATAACATTTGGTAACATTCTCATACATCTGGCTTTACTCTCACTGTTAGCCATTTGTCAGTTTATACAGGAATGACTAGGTGAATATTTGAGGCATGCTATCTGTAGCTTTTACTCTTAGTAAAAGCAGTGAGGCACCACTTCACTGAGTCAGTTTGTGTTGATGAAGGTGTGTATACAGTATAGTGCATAAGTTCATAAGGTTGGTTAGATATACTGAATATTATTGTGATTTACGACCTCAGGTCTAAATTTCTGGAGTACTGATAAGCGGGAAATTTGCAAGTACTAAAATATAGGATTTATGGACTTGTAGAGAAGATGTATTTACTGATATAATAGCTTTCTATGTTTACAATTTCATGTTACTAGAGAAATATTTTGCAGATGTATTTGTTCACAACAACTACAGAAATATGATGCATCAATTTTGAAAATGATTGATGACTTTTGATCTTCAAGGATGAAATGATGCTGAACTCTGTTCGATTTACATTCATTACATCTGTACATCAAATCCACAAAAACAAGCCAATTTAATTCTGACTCAACTGAGCACAAGTATCGTGGTGTTAGGTGATAATGTGGACTCACATTCTGAGGAGGATTCTTCTGGCATTATCAACATGTCTGGTGACAATCTGCTGAAACACAGAGAGCTCCATGGACTCCTCTCTGCTGCGGAACTCCTCTACATCTACCAGACGGAGATTTCTGCAAGCAGATCACCCAGGAGGGTAAGATGATAAAACATGGGTCGACTACAGCAACTGTATTTTCAGTGGTGTGGGACATGGGATAATAATAGTAGCACCAAAAATGTAAGAATAGGCTGCCATGATTAGTAATAAAAAGTTCTTCTTCACACTATATGGGTCACATACTACTGTCTGCTTATGAGATGTTGTGCTTTTTTTTTTATCAGACATTATGAAATAAAAAATATTAATCAGAAAAGCAATTTTCTCAGAAAAAAATTAAAAGATAAATAAAATTCTTTAATTACCTGGAATTTTTAAAAAGGTCAATTTGACCAAAAATTATAAAACTCACTCAACACCTACATTTTTATTTCGATTTCATCTTAAATAGTAAAAATCAAAGAACTGAAGGTGGAGTTTTAACAAAACAAAAAAATCTGTCATAGCATACTTACTTGTAACGGACATGCCAAAGGTACAGCACCTGCAGCATAGTGGGGTTGACGGAGTGAAGCTTATCTCTCATCCTCTTTTGCGCATGGACAAAGGCTTGGTTCCATGGTTTTGGCACTACCTCCACTCTAACAGTAAATAATAACAGAGGTACTATGAAGAACACAGTTATTTTTCACTGTGGTAAAATATATGATTCCTAATTTTAAAGGCTTATTAAAACTCAACTTTTCTTTGTATAATGGAAAACTAGGAATCTGTATGTGGCCTGATCATCAGAGTACGTCGAAGCACTGTAAACTTCTCACAAAATAAATATGCTACATTCTACATAACGTCCGGCCGACTTACTCAAGTCTGTGAGGGGGAAGATCTTTCACTTTGTCATCGTCATTTTCCTTTGAATCTCTGAATGTATATTCCACTGCAACCACAAACACAAGATATTAAAACAAACAATATTTTATAACCACATTCTGTAACCACTGATTTTAAGTTATCCATCACTGCTATGATGTGTGGATTTTAAAGGCCAATGTATACATGTAGATTATATATTTGCATCTAGTGTAATAAAACAAATACAGATTGCTGTCTTGACGTTGAACAAGTAGTCCTCCTTTATTTCATTAACCAGCAGCTCCATTGGTGCACTCAGGCTCTTTAGGTGGTGGGGGACCAAATTCTGAATCTCCTCCAGCAAAGAGTCCTCCAGAGGAGCCACATTCTCCAGGTCTATGCCTTTCTGGATGTAGTAGTCAAATCTCTGCCGGGGCAAAATATAATAAACAATTTTCAGTAGCAGTAAGGACATCTTAAACAAACAATGCCTGACATGAAATTGACATACTTGTGGAGCAGATTCAGTGTGTAAATATTCATTTTCCACGGGCAAACACTGACTTCATTTTCCATGTTGTGTACCTGAGCTGAAGTTATATTTTCTTTGAATGGTTTTTGTCAACTTAACCACTGCACATACACCTTAGTACTGGCAAGAATTTCAAATATATATATATATATATATATATATATATATATACAGTACATATTTACGTAAAGAATAAAGGCTGCACTGAGAAATAAACACAGACTACCTAGCAACTGCAACCAACAACACAAATCAGTGATGAAAAGACTACCATATCAAGTGTCTTGAAAAGATTATGTAAAAGGGGGGCCTGTGATATAATATATATAATCTACGGAATCAAGTGTGTATTGCATTTCACCATTTCATGGTTATCCTTTGTTGTAAATTTGGGAGAGCCACATATTGCAGAGGTGCCATCCTCTTCCTCCAGTTGGCTAAAAAGTGAGAAGAAATGGGCAAAATGAAACACAACAAATGATCTTCATCATGACAAACAAAAATTCGACATCTAATTTCATTAAAGTGGTTCAGTAGGTAGTTCTTCATGTCTTACCTGTGCTTCCAAACTATATAAAAGGACACAATGATGAATAGATACATTCACTGAAATGTCATGACAGACAGCTAATTAGAAAAAAAAACTGTACAACTCACCACATTACTTTAACCAGAATTTCACGGAGACTCTTGCGATTTTTACCGAGTCCTGTGCGGGTACTGCTGCTGTGCTTGGAGATCCCAGCGACCTGCACTGCCCTTTCTGCTCTGGTGGAGGGTCTGACCTCTCCCGTAACTTTTACTGGGTCTACTGTCTGCCCCTTCAACCGGCCCATCACCTGCAGCACATGTGGCAAAACAGTTCAAACTGAATTACCATAATACTTACAGCAAAATACAGCAGTATCTAAGATTATGTGGACATCAACCCACTTGTCACAGCTGCTTCAGTTCCTTGAGGTTTCTGCATGACTGGGGGATGCAGTGAAAATGAAGGTTTTGTTTCCACCCACGGCTGTTTTCTGTGCACCTGTACAATGGAGGTCACATTAGTTTGGTGGCGTTTTCACAAATAAGTTCAAAAGTTACTCTAAAAACTTAATAATAATTAACTTAATTGGCTGATAACTGAAATAAAGTTAGCTTGGAGTCGTTGGCAGTCAGCCTGACGTTGAGTGGCAAACATTGATAGACGTGTTTCAACCCCTGTAACGACAATATGCTTAACTTAATGTTTTTTTCTAAACTTACCCGTGGTGGCTTTGGTTGTAAGAAACCTTGACTGTCAGTAATATTAATTTTCTTCCTGGCTGGATTCATGTCGTTACCTGTGCAAAGATATCAAAAGCTAACGCTTAGCTCTTTAACGAAACCCTTGTGCCGTTGCTAGGGCCGTTGCTAGGGCTGTTGCCGGGGCCGTTGCTAAGGGAGCAACGGTGAACTCGCGTGAACTCCTAGGCACCAACAGCAGTTGCGGATAATTTTGGATATTTTCATCATTAATCAATAACCAATACGATTTGATCATCGATAGTAGCACAGCGGAAGCAAGACATTGACTGTGATAACGTTGCTTCAGTGTTTGATGCTGTGTAAAATACCTTGAGTCTCAATATTATGGTTTCAGCGCCCCTAGCAACAACAACGTTCAGGTGTGCAGCGGAATAGTCCAATTAGTCTGTAGTGCGGGGGGGGTAGGGGGACACTGATGGTCATACAGTAACCGGAGGAAACTATATAAATTGTTGGAGAGGATATACATGTGTTAGAATAGAAGTTTTTATGTTTTATAACCAAACATATTTTACCTGTAGCCATTAGGGGTCCTATTAGTTGGGGGCGCCAAGCAGCTACCCCTACCTTGCTCAATGGTAAACCAATTGGCATCTTATGGTTTAACCCCACCGTGCTTTTTCTGGTGTGTATGGTTAGTTTTTTAGTTTTTGGCGTTTATACCATTGGCAGTATAGGTTTATATTTTATATAAGTATGTTTTTCCTCAAGCCACAGCCAGGACTGCTTGGGGGGGGTCACAATATGGCTGGAGCCTTCTACAGGCTGAATGTAATGAGACAACCAATCACACTCAAAAATCCAACATTTATTGGCATTAAATTGTTTATTTGCCACATGGAAACACATTTTACAATCATTTAGTTTTATTCAAAAACACCAGAAACATTTCTTAAATTCTTCAGCAACTGAATAATTTAAATGGACAACAGATTGAATATCTAAACAGTTGAACAGCAACATAGGTAGTCTACAAAATACCTACAAAAATGTATTGTTGGAGCTGAAGCGTGTAACCCTTCCTCAGCATGCAGTGACTCGCTGGGTCTCCTGCAACAAACAAACTTGGCTTTTCCTTTGTTTCCTTTCCTATATTACATACAAACTATCAATACAATTATTTACATGGAAATACAAAAGGATAGCTTTGGCTCAGATCAACTAAAAATCCAAACCTCTAAATAAAATATCCAAAATAAACACGTCATCTTGTTTGTGATAGGGTAGAAATACACTTTCTGATGAATTACATTCTCTTTTTCTATAAAAATAAATGATGAGCCGTAGCATTATTATTCAGGATAATGTGGTTTCTGCTTGTCACCCCAAATAACTTGTAATAAATTGGATCATTAAATGATCTCTGAGATATCGAAGCATGCTTTAAAGATAATTTATAACAGTATATTTTATTCTGAATATTTTTGTGAAATCGTGGGGGATATCTGTAAGTAGATAAGCTGCACATAAACATTTTATTCCAAGTAAGACCTTCAGTAGGTGTGAATCTGTATGTACCTCGGCAGATCACGTTGGACATACAATATCTGCTTTTGGCAAACGCAACTCTGGTCGGCGATGATAAGGAAGACAAAGGAATATGCAACTCTCCAAAGCATTTATTTGGCCCGCATTTGGCCTTGCTGTGGTTGAGGAGCTGCTCTTTAGTCTGCAAACAGATGTTTTACAACTCTGCCTGCTAGCTGGATTTCTTCAGCCCAGGCAATGTGAGCTCAAACCTTGAGAGGGAAGAGAAATGAAATACTCATATAATTATACTTGAACCAAATGAACATTTGTGCGCATTATTACTGTCGACCAGACAAAGGTCTTTGCCCTCCAACCAGGCTTCAAACAGTAGTTATTTCTGAAGTTTGTTGTTACCAGCTTAAAGGAGGAGCTTGATATTTTGGGAAGTATTCTTCTCCCCTTTCTTGCCAAAAGTTAGACAAGAAGATCAATACCACTCATGTCTGTCTGCTAAATAGGTAAAAAAAAAAAAAAGAAACAAAATTAATCTACCAAAACTCACGAACGAACACATTATATCACATTATATCTTGTTCGTTTAATCCACCAAAAAAGTGTAAAAATGTAGGGATTAAACAATACAATGTGTTAATTATTAAGCTTTAAAGGTGCTGGTAGCTGGATTTTGTGACCTTTGCATAAAGCCAGTTTCCCCTTTGTTCTAGGCTAAGCTAACTGTCTGCTCACAGTAGCTTCAGTTTACTGTACAGATTTGAGAGTGGTATTGATTTTCTCCTCTAACTCTCTGCAAGATGAGTAGGCACATTTCCCTAAATGTCAAAACTATTCCTCTAAAGAAGCTGGGGAGACAGGATTTTCTCTCCAGAACAAAGTAATGAGTGCAAGAAAACTTAAACAAAGACGAAAGATTTCAATTCAGCACAGTTCTGATAAACATCGAAGCCACTTTGTGTTTCACTCAGAACAAACCATCAAGAATTATTTACAGCTACTGTTACTTCTACAGCTACTACACAAATCATGGAAAAGTAGAAAACAGGGCCCCATACCACTGTGTGATGCCTTTGGCTATATCCAACCGTGAAAAATCGATCATCACCTGTGGACATGAGCAGAACTTGAAAATTCAGTCAATTATCTACACTGAGTCCAAAAAGTGTGACAGGCATAGCAGTCAAGACATTGCTTTTGCAGTATATGTATGAAATAAAAACATTAACAACAATGAACTAAAATGAACCAAAGTTGGAAATGTAGAAGCTATTTGTCTCACCAATAACAACAACAGAGAGCATTTCAACTGCTGATAGCCTTTGAAATCTTGTGTCAGGAATGAAAAGACAGTCTATCACAGGTAGCATTACCTACCATGCCAATGTCCTTTCTCTCCCGTGTGTAGAACATCTTGTTGTTTTTCACTGCCACGTCCAACTTCCTGTTTTTTACGTCTTCAAGTTCCAAATCAAATTCAAACCTGTGAGGAAAGAAGATTGGCAGAAAGAAAAAAAAAAAGTTCCAGACACACAGTCTTAAGCTCTGAGCCTCTGTGCCTCATTTTAGCTTTTTCTCATTCAAATGTGTGATGCAGGATGAATCCGGTAAGCTTACTTTTCATTGAAGACAGGGTCGACTGTCCTCTTCTTGACATGCGTCTTCTTGCGGTGTCTCCAGGATTGGTCAGGGAGCAAATACAGGCGGACGTAAGAGTCTGTGCCATTCTCACTGCAGGAGAATAAGTTCCTGTAGGCAACACGTGCACACAATAGGTTATCATTGCTGGCTTTGCTTTTTCTATTTCATAGTTCTTTTGAACAACTTTGACATTTGAATTTGAATTTGTGTGTTCAATTGGAGAAAAAATACTCAACACAAAACTGTTTTTTTATCTTGTAACAAGGCCTGAAAAAGAAGTTATGTTACTGTAACTTGGTTCTCTTCATATCTACCTACTGCAAGCACAGTATGAGGTTGACATATATATGCAAAGTTAAGTATATGTACTGTATTTCAACTTATATATAGTTATTTATCTTTTATCACATAGAAACTGAATTTCTGGTTTCATATGTATAAAATTTGTTCAGAGCTGAGATGAGCAAATGGATATATCCCTGGTCAGTATTAGTGCTGCTGGGAAACAGGCTGGGTTTTTCTGATGTACCTGCAGGAGTCGACCAAGACAATGAGTTTCTTCCTCAAGGTGGCATAGCGTACAGTCAGGTGGATCTCCCCAAACGAACCCTGATGATTCCTGATGGCCCTATAGTGGTCAAAACATTTTTAAACATCACTTTTATAACTTACCTCGTTAAAATCCATACAGTTTTGTTCATAACATCTTTAGAAAGGTTAGAAGTCGGCACACTAAAGGTGTGAAAAAGACACTAAGCCGTAGACTCACTCTGGATACGATGCTCCCTCTGAAAGGTCGAAACGTGACGAAGCGATGGAGTTCTCTGACAGCAGGCTGTGGGAGTCAAACCGACGAATGTTTGATGGGGAAGGAGATGGGTGCCAGGTTTCAGAAGCCAGGAAGGAGCCACGGCGTTGGGTTGAATAGTCTGCACTATAGCCATTCTGGGAATCAGCCGCCTGGGTCGGAAATGAGGCTTGGGCAGCGTTGGAGGAAAGTGCGGGAGTGGATTCAGGGGCTTTACCTCCTTGGTTGGTCTGTGGTCCTGGCTTTTTGGGTTGTGGAGGAGGGTCGAGGATAATCTTGGGTGGAGGCTTTTCCACAGTAAGAATCTATTTTGGGATCGAGGACACAGGTTGAAATTTAGCTTTGAACAGGAAGCAGCTAAATGTCGTTTGCTATACAAGACTGTGTGATGTGCTTGATCTCCATGTAATGTGAGTTTCCATGTACTAAACGTGTGTGTAAGCTTGCCGATGTTGTGTACCCACCCTAAGAGTGGCTTTCAGCTTGATCTCGCTTTTAGCTCCGGACTGTTCCAGCAGGAAGCGCTGGTCTACAGTCATGTTGGAGCTGTTGAGGAGGCGACTCAGGGGCAAGTTGAGAATGCCAAGCTGAGTCTTCTTCTCAGGCTCTTTGACCTGGACCACGAGAGCAAAAATGTGAGAATATGCCAACAGAAATTAACATCAATTTAGACTCAAGATTTTGACTAGTGCAACCTCGAGAAATGTTTTAAATAGCTGAGAAATGTTCTGTTTAGTGTGTAGACATTTAAATGACAAACCTGAACACAGAGCTGCTGTGTTTTGATATTATGCACAAAAAAGTTAAAGCCCTCCTCCCACACCGGGTCTTTATTTGCATACACAACCTGTGAAAAGTGAAGAGGTGTTAGCTACAACTCAGTGGTTTCATTGCAAAAAGCTACTACTGTGTTGTGTGTTTGCTTTTTGTGACAGCACATTTTTACAGCACATTCATGTCAATTTGAATGACAGTTACACGTCTACTTGTACAGCTACAGCTACTAAAATACAAATACAACTAGGTTAAACATTAAGTAATAGATATTCCTTCATTCATATGATAAATTAAAGAGAAAATTGTGTGTTAATGTCATAAAGTCACAGCTATACCTTGCTTTTTTGAACGTTTTTATCAATGGAAAATTCCACGAAGGAGTTGGGGCAGGCAGCTCTCTTTGTGAGCTGAAAACAAAGCAAATCACTCAATTAAAGAAAAAAAAAAGCAATACATCAACACTTTGCATTTTTGTGTGCCAATAACACTGACACAGAAAACCCCAGGGACAATGAGTAACATTAGTTATCTACTGCACTGATGGACAGAGTAACTCACCATTATTAAAAATATACTGACACTTAATAGCTCAACTGCTTTCAGTTTCTTATTATGACACAGTTCTACCATTATCAAAATGCTTTCATTTATTATAAAAGGCCACCAGCAACAAGCCAACACTGGGAGTTTGTCTAGAAGCAGGCTGTTGCCTTCCAGGTTGCATTCCTCTCTAATACATGTCTGACATACCTCACTGTCTGGAGGCACGTTAAACAGATGTTTATGCTGGTAGCCACAGCTAACATGAGCATTATGTCTCATTTTAACAAATATAAAACCAGAGGTTGATGCAGACACATTTGAGGTTTTAAACACCTTCAGTGAGCTCAATATGTTGGCAGAGACTGTCTACAATAAATATATATTTACTGAGTAACTGTTACAACCACATCACCATCCATGTTTTCCCCTTGTATTTGTTTTTCCTCAGAATCTTCTGCAAATGAACAAACCGCCTTTACTACGTTATTTTTGTTGTTTCACACTTAACTTGTTGCATTGTGACTGTATTTTCACACAATGACCAGCAGAGGGCATTTAGAGGCAAGAGCTTTTACTGACTGAGCTTTTTGTATTGGGTCAGATTTGTTTAACAGGTCAAATAGTGACATTAAATGATTCTTACTATTCAATTATAGCGGCCTTACTGACCAGATGAGACATTTGAATGTGTCAAATGTTTGTCACAGAAACTGTGATGTGATCTGTGACCTCAGTGGCATTTACTGATTTGTCCAATGTATAATTCTTAAAATCCTCAGAAATATGAGCCTATTTTTGCTTTACAAAGAGGTCAAATGACTATAAATATAGTGACTGTTTAATTTCCTCAACAAGATCTTCCACCACAAATAATATTCCCTTAGTGATCTTAGTGATCAACACTTCTCTGCGTGTTTCTTTATGATGGGAAACTGATCCTGAACAAGCTCCAGGTTAAGAAAGGAATCTAGCAACATGAACACCAGCTGATAATAACACACCCACATAAAATGACAAGCATGCACTCAACAAACGGGAAATACCAGCTATGCACAGGGTCAAGTACAACTGGAGCACTAACTGAAACATCTGATCTGGCTGAGGCTTTTGTTTGACATCAAGATAGAAGAATTGTCGATTGTAAGGCAGTAAAGTGACAGAGACGCTAAATGTTATGCCCGATTTGACTCTCGAAAGCCAACACACAATCTTCTTTTGGCTATACCAATTCAAATGTGGAACTACTGTAACTCTCAAACTGGATTTTTAAAGAGGCAAAAAAGAAATCCCAGTGTTGACAACCCCTAACATATAAGGCTGTGTGCATTCCTCTGCAAGGGAGTAGTAGCTGTAAGATTAAAAAGAAAGGGTCTGCAGGAACAGGGGTTGGGCCTCTGCATACCAAAGAGCTCTGGATTAGGTGTCTCATATACCGGTGTTAAATCACGTACAGGGTAATAGTTTAGGAACAGTATGGGTCCTATGGCAAGGATTAGGCTGGTGTTAGCAACTGAGAGAATTATGAGCAAGAACAACTTTATGTGATCATGTTTATGAAAAGATACAGAGAAGATGACATTAAATTCTTATTGTTATTTTGGTAAATGAATCAATAAAAATTACACATTATTTACAGTCTATGGGAATAATGTTTTTATGATCAGCAGTGGATTAGTGAAAAAATTAAATATGCATTCATATTGATTATGTTTTAATGCTATGTTACTGTTATGTTTCTACAACGGGGGGAAATAATCAATGTCATAAAACAATGTACTTTTTCGACTCTCAGTAATGAGGAAGAGAAGATTTTTTCTTATGAGGAAGTTTTAGTTTTTCTTATACATATACACAGCATGTTCTTTATGTTTTACTAGTTTACCCTCCTTCTCAAGGGCAAAACTTTCTATCTTTCCTTTAGTGGTGAATATTCACAAAAAAAGGCAATTAATCACAACACCAAACCAACTGTGACACAATAAAAATGGGGCGTGAGGGGCCGGCCCAGCTCCTTCTTATAGCAGCTACAGTGGAGGGAGGGCAGCTGGCATAATCACAGGACCACAGCCTTATGTAACAATACTGCAAGCTTAAAAAAAAGCTCTCGTCTTACCCGGGCTTCCTTTGAGTGCTTCCCGTGTTTATGATTCTCTGTGATCTCACGGTGGTCTTTCTGGAGACAAACACATGAACACACATCAGCACACGTTTCTACCCATGTTGCATCATCCGCTCTCACCAACAACAGTCCCCTGCTTGAAGCCACTTACTGGTAGGTTTGACGCGTTGTCCAGATACACCGCGAGCATAGCACAAGCAAAGCCGTCGGAGGACTGGAAGAGAGTGATGGCAGAGAGCGACACAGTGTTTACACAACTGACAAACTTGAGTTACACACAGGGGCAACCTGTTGTAAAAAGAGGCAAAAGAAATGTGAGAAACAAAGAGGTTACCTCCGTCAGCAGGCTGGGGTCATCCTTAAGGGAAAACCACTGGAGCTTGAGGTGAACTTCTCCATTCTGGATCCCTTCCAGAGGAAACCACTACAACGGAGAGGGGGATTCATTCATCGACATGATCATTTATATAAAGACTATTTAAATTGAACACTGGCATTAAGCCTGTCACAATAATAAATGTTATTAATCGTACAATATACTCGACTATCGCCTGTCAGGATAATAAATTACTTATCGTTTAAGAATGTAACATTTTAGCAGGGTTTCCCCTACAATTACTATATTGCCTGTTAAAGATTGAATGACTCTATAGCCTACCCTGCCAAACGTTTAATATTAAAAGTTGGTTTTCTTTATTGTTTGGTTCCAATTCCAGTGTCTGAATCATTGCAATGCATTATTAGGCTTATCATTATATCAGTTGAACAAAATGACAATATTTTTGTTAATCAGAATTTGTCCAACAGGAGTAGTTATCATGACAGATAAACGTTTTTTACCATTCTTAAAAATGATGCTACCGCAAGATGTTTTATTAGGACTTAAAACAGTAGGAGACAGTACACTGTAATGTCCTGTAGTGCTGGCAATCATTTTGTGATTACAACTGTTTTTTTTCCTACTGCAGAAAACTGCTCTTACTAGGCACAAATCACTTAATTCAGTGTATCTACAACGTTACATATAAGCTCACCCGATCCATTTCTTTCTCCTTCTTCACTTCTCCCAAATCGAGATTATACCTAAGGTGAAAATGAGAGCGTGAAAACCACAAAACAAAAACATTTAAAGTATATTTTCAGCACTAATACAATACGTACTCATATTTTTCACATATTCCACATCATTACTCAGCTGTCTTCCCTTACACTATCTTTGTACGAGCTATTCTGCTGTATATTTTCAAGCAAAGGCTGAGACAGCACATGAGGCTATAAAACACGACACATTATTCAAATATATACATACTGTACCTGCCGACATATAAAAAAATACTAATAAGTACACAATAATCAAGACACTAATGCTAATAATGAGAATTTGACATCCTTTGTCAGGGTAATAAGCAATGCCTGAGAAACTCCTACATGATTTGCATACAGTAAAGTGAGGAGGGGAGTCAAACAGCATTCTCTTCATCAGTCGTTTGATTACCTTCCAAGGAAGTCATCTTTGTCTGTGTCCTCATCGTATAGCTCCAACTCCAACTCTTGCCCCGGGGCCTCGTGGACCACAAACTGCCAGCAGACGAAGAAGGGATATGATGAAGGTTATACACTAAATACTGAAAATAAAACACAAACACGCTGGAGAGAACCTCAGCTTTCAAACAATGAGTTGCTAACAGTGATTTGTCTAGCCCTTCAAGGCAATCTGTGACAAAGTTTTTGTCTTTAAGCTTTGCCTTTCACAAACAAGGAAATGTGTGATGGGATTTTTTGTAGTTTCCTGTCGCATACCAGAACATGTGCAGGGTTACAGGATAAGAAAAACAGTCTTGTTCAGGCTTAACCATCATGCAAGTGAGTGATAAGTAAGTTTATCAAGGGGTTTTAAAGGCCCTTAATAATAACTTCAGTGTGTTGCCGTTACTCTACCTCATACACTTCATTCCATGTGGGGTTCAGATTCTCTTTGATGGTCTTGCTTTTGAATTTTCGGTTGCCGACTCTGAGTTTTACATAGGGGTCTGATTTGCCTTTCACTAAACCCATCATGTATGTGTCCTTAGCCACCAGGTCCTTGGCCTCCAGCAAGTGAACCCTCACCACACCCTGAGGAGAAGACAAGGAAAGCCAGACTCAAACTAACAAAATCGTCTCACATGTAAGAAAAAGACAAAATCTTCACCTACATATCTATGTGTCTTTCCAAATCCTAACCTAAAATATGCAATGGTACAGTAATTTAAAATGCAAGTGACAGCAGTTGATAGAAGATTCATGTGTGAAATGGAAAGTTTATCTTACATACACGAGGTAGTGGGAACCTCATCTGGTCTACTTTGACCTGGTCTATGAGGGGTATACACATGCGGTTGGGCAGCACCATGAGCGAGGCGATAATGTCCATGATGGTCTCCTCGGACAACGAACTGGAAGGTGACAGATGAGGTGAGAGAGCTTCAAAATGTTGGGGTGACCATAACACACTGTGTAAGAGTCAGGGGGGGTTTCCTGTGGACACTAACCTGAAGGCAGGGCTGTCCAAAAGGTTGGTCATGCCAGTCCAGTTGATCTGCAGGGTCTGGAATAAAAAAATGGGTTTAAAACTTGACTAATGGCATCCCTTGATGACAGTAAGGCAACGAATGTGTGTGTGCACTCACAGGGCAGCGAATGAAAAAGAAGGTGACTCCTCCCACCAGTGGCGCATCACCAATGAGCGGCTCTAAAATGACCCTCAGCATCCCCTTGAGCTGGAAGATTCAGGACAGTTTTTACAAGAACGGTAAACACTGTACTGTACTGTAAATACTGTATGACAATGAAGGCGATATAATAATACTGAAAAATTAGCCGCCCACTTGTACTCCTTTGACACCAGCTGTGATCGGCTCCTTCACCACAGCGTCGATGTCCACATCGCCTTCATAACTGCAAAGTGAATATTGCCGATGAGAAGTAAATGACTGTACCCCACTGGGCGCTGTTCAGAGTTTGAAGAGAGGGACCAAAACACATTTGACAAGACAGAAACAGCTTATACCCAACCTTATATTCAAGTCCAGAACCACCTCCCTCTGATCCACTTCATGTGTGTACGCTTTCATCCCAGTGATCTTGAGAGGCTGGAAATTAGGGAAACATTTAAAAGGAACCTCCTCAACCATATTTAATGACACACAATACTCTCAGTTTATCAGATACAGGAGTGGTGGCATTATTACATAATACAGCAAATCACAGAGGAGTTCTTTGCTTCATAGAACAGTAAAATAAACCCGTAAAAGATTTGGTTACTTGCTTTAAAAGTATCAAAAGAGAAATGGAGGTCAAATGGATGCAAACTGAATACAAATGCGAACTTACTATGCGTCCAAAGTGGACCTTGGTGAAAGTGAATGTTTTGAGCGCGGCGTTGGAGAGCCTGACGGACGCCTGGATTTTTTCTTTAAGGAGCTTCTCCATGTACATACCAAAGAAAGGCCAGGCCTGCTCCAACACCTGAACATACAAAGCAAAACAGAGCATGTGAATACGCCTCGATTCCACACCTTAATCAAACAGCTAATTTAATTTCATGTGCACATTTATAACGAAGGAATGCTTAAAGGCACTATGACTTAAGCTTTTCTAGTTGCATTCTTTAAATCATACTGACAAAGTAAGTTTCAGTTTGTAGAAAAATACAGCAGTCTGTTTGTTGCTTTTGGCTCATTCATCTCAGTGTGCCCAAGTGAGTTTAACACCCTGTGCTATATCTCACATGGTCTTCATTTGTATGTGTTTTAGTGTACATCAATCACATTCAAATCAGAGCCATGTGTGGTGGGAAGTTGAGGATGGGATGATGATGATTAACATCATCTCATAAAATCCTAAAACCAGAGAGGGGGAGGAAGATCACTTTATTTTGATACTGTACCTTGTTAACCCAGTCAACTTTCTCAACATCAGGAAAGTGGACCTTAAAAGAGAAATGACAGTAAAGTTAGAAGTGGGTCTGTAATGTGTATTTGAGCAACTCAAACAACATAAAGGCATGCATGATGATAGAGATGGAAGACAGAATTGTGCCAGTAATTATTCATTATCCATCATGCAATTTTTAAAAGACTTATACAAGTGAGACTATTCAACGTAAAATCGGTCAGATTTTATAAAATCTAAACTGGAGGATCCCAAATTTTCCCATTTCAGACATTTCTTAGTATAAATGGACATTGGAATTAGTTATTTATGGCTTACCAAAGTTTCTCTGCAGCGTCAAAACTGCGGACTGCAACAGAGGGTTGGAATCATGTACTAGTACAGAACATCTGATGGGCCCACCCCTTATCCAAATAAACTACAGCACCATCAGTGAGTTCTGCCAAAGATGCTAAAGTACATTTTTTAAGACCAATAAACGGGGTGATATAACTGTTTTACAATGGCTAGAAATCATAAATCTGCATATCTTTAAAATGGAATTCTGTTTCAGGTTTTAATAAAGTATGCCATCATTATCATTTGTTTCACACACAAAGACAACAACCCCACCCACGATTAAAATGTAATCTGATTATCACATCTGCCGTGCACGATACATTGCTCCTCCTCAGACGAACCCGTCTGATTGTCGCTCCCTTCTTTAGTTCCCATGAGTCACTGTTTGTGCGGGTGTGGTGTAACCAAATGTGGAGAAATTAAACCTCCTACAGAATTACAGCACGTTTGGCTGGCTTAACCCCTTTCTGAGTATGGGAGGTTTTGCCTAAGTCATGCAAATAAAGTGCATCATAGTCAAGGCAACAGAGAGCATGACATGCGACCTGCAGTGTACGACTTGTTTCAGGATGTTTTACACAACTTGGCTGCATATCAGAGAAAAAAAAAAGATTGACATTTGACCTTTCTTCAGTGACTGGAGTGTTACTGAGGTTGAATCCCTTTGATGTCTCTGGTGGCTGGAGTGCCCTTAAACAAGGCAGTTCACATCCATTGCCCCAGTAAAATAAAGTAAACTCAGTACATTTACTTAAGTACTGTACTTGTGCACAATTATAGATACTTGTACTTTACTTGAGTAGGCCTGTTTCCAGTACTTGCTACTTTATACTTTCACTCCATTACATGTTGGAAGCAAATATTGTACTTTCTTTCCTTTAACTACTTTTTTGACAGCTTTAGTAACTAGTTACTTTTGTAGATTCATATTATATCCATACAAAATACATACCTACTAATAAATGATTATCTAGTTATTATAGAATAAACACCTTTACCAAATGTAATTAATGATATAAAATTATAATATTGGGGTTTTAAATATATATATATATATATATATATATATATATATATATATATATATATATATATATATATATATATATGAGATTCTGAAAAGGCCCTTTAAGTGTATTTTAATGCCAATATTACCTAAATAAGATTTTGAATGCAGGACTTCTACTTACTTCCATTTCTACTAATTTTACTCCAGTACAACCCCTCAGTACTCCTTCCACTACACCCGACGTACCCATGATGCCATTTGTAAGGCACTTTTCAGCTCCCTGTTGACCAAATGTGTCTCATTGTCCACAAAGTCGATGGCGGTTCCGATCCGGGCCTCTTTCCACTGGCGATTCTTCTTCCACCAGGAGACCATCATCATGCACAGCAGCACCCAGCTGACACTGAGGCCCAGGTATCCCGTCAGATACACGGGGTAAAAGACCAACATGGCTCTGCCAAAGTACATCAGGAACTCCATCAGGATGCGATTCACGGCGGAGGAGCTCAGCTTCTCCGTGCTGCCGTGGATCGACAAGCTTTCCCCGAGCCCCACTCCCTCCGCCGGGCCGCTCGGATACATCTGTCCGGCGGATGCCATTGGGTCGGACTCCCGCTGGAACCTGGTTCCTGGCGTCCTAAAAGAGCTGTTTTTACGCTCACTGGCTGAACAGCTTTTTCTCTTCTTGCTTATGTCGGTCTAAATAAGGAAACAACACATGCCAATCTACTGCACATACCATCGGTGGGACTAGTAAAATCAGCCGTCATAGTCCTAAAAACTTCCGTGTTTGAAACTTCCAAAAGACAGGTAGTCACACCTGCGCCCATGGGTGGAGAATGCGCTCAGCAACCAAAAAACAATTCCACCCTAAAAATGAATGCAAATATCCTTCTATTATAGTATCTGTTTGTGTTTGTTTTTACACTCACTCTTTATAGCTTTATTATATTGTTTTGTATAGTTTATTTACACATTTATTTCCATGTTGTTGTTGGCAGTTTCTTTTTTTTTTTTATTGTAAATAAATAATTAATAAATAAATAATTTAGTAAAAACATTTTTTATTGTGACTCTAATCGTCCAAAATCATCCGCCGATATGTCTGAAAGGACAGCAGTGGTTTGCCCTTTCTGTTATCTGCAAAGCCCTAAATCTCAACATTTGTTTGACTAAGCAACAGGAGATTTTAGTCAGGGTTGTAATTCTGGAGTAAGACCTGCAGGTGGAGCCAGAGAGTGCAGCAGAGGTCATTTCTAATAAAGCCTGCACTCTCCTTCATACTGTCTCAGAAGTCATGTGCTTTCCTGTAACTGAAAGGCATCTGCAGGGAAACTTCAATACAAGGACTTGGAAAGGTTTATTGTCTGAGAGGGGAGACACTTAAGGACTTTGAGGAAATCAAAGCAGCATTACAAGGAATTGCAAATACAGACATTTATTTATTATGCACAAAATGCTACTACTTTTACAAAAAAAATTGATTAATCTATAACTGGCATTTATTCTGGTTCTGCTGACATCTCAGAGCTTTAAGTTACTCCTGTATAATGATAATGTCTGATTTTGACATAATGAATCTCAAGGAAGTCCTAAGAAATTAGAGTTATGGGGAGAGGCTACTAACATGATGTTAAACATTTAGTTTTATATTCCCTTGTTTTTATTTTACTTATAGCATCTGGATATTCATTTTAAAGCAAGAGAGTATATGTTTAAAGATGTTTTTATGACCAGCAAAATTACTTTTTGCTCCTGAGCTGGAGTTAAGAATATCAGTCCCTTCATTGTATAGGTTTGGTTTCAGAATGTTAAAACTACTATTTACCACTGGGTAATGTTGGAAATGTTCTATGTATACCATACAAGGGGTGATAAGCAGGCCATGTTTACTGATTTATTTGTTTGGGGTATATTTATCCCTTAGTTGTGTTTCTGTTTATGCCAATATGGAAACTGTTGACTGTTTCCCCGCCCCCCCTTTTTTTAAACGTGTGATTTAATTAGTTATTTAACCAGACATAAATATACAGAGAAACGTACTTACGTAAATATTCTGCTGTTTAAAGATATGTGAGGGAATGTATATTTGTGAAAAAGCATTTGCGAATATATTTTCATGACATTTTTCGTACTGTAAATTAAATGAAAACTACTCACTTTATTATGTATTCTGCTGTAATAGACAAAAAAATGTAGAGAGTAATTAACTTTAAATTAAAAAGGCATAGAAAACAGACAACAAATATTAGTGTGCTTGAACCAGTTTTTATTTGTGCAGGCTTGTTTATTGGAACAGTGGATAAGTTTCAATTCTACTTTCAAAACCAAAAGTGATTGTTAACCTGATTTACACATGCGTACATATACACATTTTTCTATTACAAGATTTCCTGGAAGAACAGGTACTTTCCATAAGCTTACCGGGAGTCAAGAATCTCAGTACAATGTTAAGTGCATTTACACAGTGCGTAACATACATACAGGCAATAATTGTTTCCGCAACCCTCTTTTTTTCCCTTGTTTTATTTGTTCTTGCATACATCTTCCACTATATGGCCACAAACATATTTCAAGGCACTATATTAAGTCTTACTACTTATAGTACCATAACTGACCCTCGTAATCATTATTGGTTGTTTGTAAAACAGGAAATGGCAGCTATTATTGCAATCATTGTAAGTTTAAAGAAACATCTTGAAAATAACAAATATAGTAATCAATTGACAATTAGCAACGAGCTACTTGTTGTAAGGCAGTTTCAAAAGTAAGGCACTTGTTTTAGTTAGCGCTTTAGTGTGTCACTTGAAGGTAATCAAATATTCAGGATACGCCTGGGTGTCATGGAAGATAACGTACATGCTGGGTCTGGCAACGTTGTCCACGACGCTGTCGTACTTCTGAACAGAGACGGCGCCCTTGGCCGGTGGCACGATCATGTTTTGTTGTCCAAGGGTGAAGTCCCCCGTCAGCACTCGACAGAGGTACATGCACTTCTCCCCATTTTGATTTGGCTTGGAGTAGGTGTTACTGGCAGAGTAGCTAGCATTGACAGCAAAGTATGTGCCATTGCCATAACAAGCAGCTGAAAATGTAATAACAGCAGAAAGTGAGTGACTCTATCTGTGAGATAATTATCATATCATTGTTTTTTAAATAACCAAAAGTCACTGAATCGTCTGAACATCTGTTAAAATTAAACTTCTATTATTGATATTATTCTGAACCAACTTAGTAACCAAGTGAGGTACAGTATGACCAAAGTGATTTAAAAATATGTTTAACAATCACGTGTCACACTGTAATTGCCTTCAGGTTTTCAATATAGATTGAGGAAGTGTCTGATTAATGTGTGTGTCTCATATTTTCAACCTCTCACCGTTCTTTCCTGCGTAACTCCTGTTGAAGCCATGATTGTTGATGTAGGCCACGGTGTCGTGGCAGGTGCCGTGGAAGAGACGTTTCTCGTTGTTCTGATGACCATTTCTCAGCTCCATGTCACGCTTCCTCAGCTGTAGGCTCTTCCACAGAACAGGGTTCTGGATCCTCTCAATCTACAAGGAGGCAAAAGTAAATGTGCATTCTGCTTTTCCTGTATTAGGGAGTTTTAATAAATTTGCTATTCATCAAAAAAACTTTATTGAAGTGATTGATTTGTCACCCGATGATGAGATACATGATGACAAAGAGTATTCCAGTGTTTCCTCTGGGATTTTTTTGTTAGCAGTGGGGGCAGGCCCGTCCGTTGTTAAATTGGGATGTGAGCGGCAGCCAACGGGGGTGCATTATGTCGGCAGGATCATTTAAAAGGCAACCGTGACTACATTGTGCATCTGCCCCATTTCTGATACCGTGGCGGCAGAAATTTAACAGTGGCGGGTCGCCACTCCAAAATCAACATAGAGGAAACACTGGTATTCATTACATACAGTGCATGTTATATGAAGTCTACCTTTATAATGGCTTGTTTGCATGTGGCCTGGAACAGAGTCTGGATCTCAGTGTACTCGGTTGTCCCAGCCGCGACGGTGACGGAATGACTCGGGGTGTTGGCTGGCATGGCATCCCAGTTATCAGGGATGTCTTCATCTAGTGGCATAGTAAACAGTTTTGTTTTTATTATTCCTGGCATCAACAATGTATTGGCAATATTCTTTGCAGCTTTTCTGCATACGAAATCTGATTCGATAACCAGATATCAACATTTAAAACAATACGTACAGTGCTGATAAAGTTGGCCAATAAAAAAAGCAAAATATTTATTCTGGCTTCATAATGAAGTCATAATTATCCCCGGCATTATTGTGGTTGAGTTGTGACAAATAACATGCTTCCCCTATCAGAGGACAAAGGTACGATTCATTACCTCTCAGTTTGTCAATGCGCTTCATCTCTATGACACGGCCCTGGTTATCAGTAGCAGGTCCATTTGGCATGGTTACAGTGTAGACTTGACCCTGGATGGTTACTTTTGCACTTGGTAAGTTCTTTTCCAGCGCTTGCTCAAGCTCGTAGTTGGTCTTTGAATCGAAAACTCTGAAACTGAGACCCCAGCATGAACACCCACTCTACCACTGTGCCTGCCAGTTCTACTTTCTTCTTCAGGTCCTCCTCATCTCTCGCCCTTCTCAGCATCGCATGGATCTCATTGTTGGCTTTGAGCACGTCCTTGCTGAGCCCCTTGATGGTGAGTGAAGCTTGACCCTTCTTGCTCTCAGTCCTTATGCTCACGCTCATGGTCTTCTGGATGTCAACAATGCGTTGTTGGTCTGCATCAGACAAGCTGAGGATGGCGTTGTCAGCAATGGTGTCGCTGTGATGCTCTTTAGATATAATGTCGTTGATCCACTGCTTGGCTTTGTCAACTTCAGTCTTTGACTCGCCACAGATGTGGAAGCAAGCTGGGTCCACTTTCAGAGCCTCAATGACAAAATCCTCTTCTTTCTGTAGTTTGTCAGAACTTCCAACAAATAATGCTGAAGGAAAAAATACAACACTGACATGTAAAAGTGATTATGGATTAAGGAATATGAACAGCAAAATTATTCTCTTCATTGTGCTTACATTTGATTTTGGAGCCGACGCTCCCCCAGAAACCGGTTGCTTTATCTTTAGGATCAGTAGCTTCTCGTTCGTGCATGCTGTTGTAGAACTCTTTTAGCATGGGTGGCTGGAAAATAACGATCCGGATTGTCTTCAGGGTACTGGAAGTGTTTTGGTTCAACACATCTATCACTGCGTCCAACATGGCATCTGCCACCTGCTTTGCTTGTACATTGCCTTGACCTAAAATGGTACAGCAGACATTATGGACTCTGCCAGCTGTGGCATGACTGTGATGATTGTTTCTAAATGAATTTAAATGTAAATATTTCTGAATACAAAGCTAATTAAATCCCAATTTTTTGCAAACCCAATTCAAACCATAATTCTGCAATAAGTAGGATTTCATTGACGTTTTAACCCATCAACTGAGATGGGTTTGGGGATCAATGTCAAGATATTCAAACTCAGGATTCACAATGATAAACATCACATTCTCTCGATGAAGCTCACCTGTGCCAATGGCAGGAAACGAGACAGAAGTGTATGAGTTTGTCACACACATTTGGAGTGCCTCTTTCACAACCTTGTTGATTTTTACTATGTCCGTCTGTCCAGCCAAGTGGAGGATCTTCTTACACTTGAGGTTGCCTGGCTGGGTCATTATCATACCTGGGTGGGGCTGGGCACCTAAAGGTGTAGACAGTGGAATTTAAATGCCTCTGATCTTTGACAACCATTATGTGTGTGTATTTAGTTCAACAACCTTGAGTTACGATTACAGATTTGGCTTAATGATTGATTCTACCTATGTTATTACCAAGCAAGGAAACTTGTTATTGTTATACTGTGTTTGCCGTCAACTTTGGGTGTAAATGTTTCCTTACCAAGCGTTTGGCATTCTGCTTCAACGGTCTGACCGGCTGCATCCAGAATAGCCTTCGATACCCCTAGAAGAGAGAAAGATAAAAAAATAAATATAAAAACAAATACATATAAATATAAATAGCAGGACGATTACTCTCTTTTTGTGTTGATATTGATGTTAAAAGTGTCAACATGTGTTTTCTTGTAGTGGATAGTACTACCACTACGACAACATGTTAAAATTAACAATAAATCCAAAAGTAAAAAAGCAATAAAGTGCAGAGTACTTACAAATACATTGGGGTAACAAATACAATAAACAGTTTTACCTGACTTAAGAGAGAAACCTTCATTGGAGGAGTTGACAATGACATCAGTGGTCTCTTTGGTTATGTCTCCTGTGACCACCTGTATAGCCACGCTACCCATTTTAGTCTCGTGCATTCCTGAGCTTGAGACAACTTTAGAGAAGGGACCTTGAAGCAGCATAGAAACAAAAAGAATGAACAGCAGCCCAAAAACCCATTAAGTAAAGCTTTTTTCTTAGACAATAAAGACAATTCAGTATTGTTAAAATGACAAAAACAGTATAATTTGATCATTACTGAAGTATTTTTGGTTTGGTGTATAAATAAAACATTTTTGAGTACTTAACTCTAAAATGATGTTTGTTTAGAGAACTGTTATTACGTTATACTAATAATCGCACATTAAAATGGTGCAACAATATTGCCTACCTGAGCTTTGTTGGGAACTTGTTGGCACCGAAAGACCTGAGGCATTGGGGAACTTCTTAGTGAATTCATCACTAAACGCCTGGAGACAGAATCAGAGAGATTTCTGATACAAAAATCTCAGCAAAGAACAAATATCACAGCAATTAGAAACACAGACTTAACTGACTGCCTCTTTGTTAACAGTGATGTAGTTGTGACTTGTTTGGCTGCACTATAAACAGATACATCAGTTGATCTCTGACAGAGTAGCTGCTCAAATAGCATTTGCTGCCCTCAGAATTTTGGGACTTGTAGTATTAAACCACAGTTGCTGTTCCTAGCAGTAACTACTGGTATTACAATATCAACCAGATCTAAAATATTACAGATTATAACTGTAGATTAATGTTGCTGTTTCCAAATTTCAGTTAACTGTTGGGGCCTTTTAAGTACTACAAAGCTTTTTTTTCTTTCCTTACCTGGATAGTGTTAGCGTCTCCCGAGTAAAGTATGATCACAACCTTCTTCAGATGCTTAGGTTGTTTCTTACTGCTAAACGCTAAGATTTCATCCAGCATCAATGAGGCTACAAGGTTTTTTGGGAAACCCAGGTTCCCAGTGCCGATGGCAGGGAAGGATATGGAGCTCAGACCACTGTCCTCGGCCTTGTCCAAACAATCCTTGAAAAGGCCACTCAGGGTCTGGAAGGCAAAGCATGAATGCTGTTAATATCTAGGTGCAAGATATTTAATGTTTACACTGCTTGCGACCTCAAAGAAAGCAGAAAGCAATATTTCTTGTGTTATATATTTTAGCAGAATCATGTTTTACATACTATGCAGAGAGAAGAAAAGTGTAGATCTGTGGTATATTCAGTATGATGTGTTTTGACCTGTCAACTAATTTAAAAGTTATTAAACAAATAATATGCGGGATGTAACTCTTTACCTTTTCAGCTGCGCCTTGTCCATTGTCCCAATGAGGTGTGATTGCATGGAAGACTTGCTTGCTCTTCAGCTGGCAGCCATCAGTAACAATGACCTCACCTACTTTTCCATTAGCATTTTTTGCAGTTACCAACTGCTGAAGTTTAGGTCCAGCCACACGAAAGATGGCGTTTGAAACGGCCCCTTTGGTCAGCGTAAGATCTTCAAACACAGTATTCACGGTCACCTCCGTCTAAGAATGAGTGAACAGAATGTTATCAGTTCATCACCTTACTGTTTTTTAGAAAATAGAACAGTCAAGAATCAGTGGTGTAAAATTCATGCAGAAAATAATGATTGCAGTTAGTGAACGATAATAAAAAATCCAAATTACCGTGGCGTTCTCAATATTTCCTTTAGTAACAGTGATGACCATGCCCTCTTTGGTCTGCACTTGACCCAAGCACATTGAGTCACTTTTAGCACGTTTCACCGGTGGAGACTTGGTGTCTTTGTTAGCAAGAGTTTGTTGAGAATGACTGACACCATGATTCCCATACTCCTGTCTGACAGCCATATCCATAGCCTGAACAGCACTGTCATCATTGTTCACAAAATGGATCTTCTTCAGGGTGTTGTCACCATACTTGTCATCACAGTGTTCCTTCACTGCTTTGATGATGGTGGTTGCACACAAACTGAGAGGAAAGCCTTGGCTTCTGCTGATGGCAGGCAGAGCAACCGAGATGCAACCATGCGTTTCAGCAAGTTCCAAGCTTCCTTTAACAGCTCTTTTCAACTGTGCCAGAGCCTTCTGGGGATTACCTTGATCAAACTGTGGTCCTACTGCATGGATGACTTTTTGGCAGCAAAGCTGCCCCCCTGCACCAGTAATGACACAGTCCCCAGGCTTCAGCTGTCCTTTCAAGTTCATATGTTTGTCACATTCAACCTGCAACTGAGGGCCAGCAGCATTCAGAAGCGCCTTTGCAAGACCTCCATTATGTTTCAAGTCCTGATTAGAAGAATTGACAACTGCATGCACTGGGTAGCTGCACATATCTGCCTTGCAAACGGCTATTTCCACTCCATCAGCTGTCTGAAGCTGGTACACAGGTTTTGGTAGCCGACTGTGGGCCAAGTCACCCTGTCCGCCACTAGTCTCATCAACCAGCTGGACCAGGCAGCCAGTATCACTCAAGAGTGAAGATACATACATAGCTTCTTTTTCCTGGAAGAGCTTCTTCCCTCCAGGCATGGAGACTTTTAACATTTCAAAGACCACAGAAGAGACCATGTTTTTAACCAAGTCCTTGCACTTTTCAACATCTACTCTAGAACCAGTAAGACAGATAGCCTCCTTTCTATAAAACACCACTACTTTGTCTTTAATTTGCTCCAACTGTCGTGTGTCATGTTTTTGAATGTATTCAACTATAGTGTTGGGCTTGACCACGACAGTTTCTTCCACTTCAGCATACTGTGTTAAAAAGTCATCAAGTGCACTGCTAACTCTTCTGACACTATCCTTGTGGCCAGACACTACAACTTGTTCACCAGTGGTATGGATTTGAATTCCCCTGCATGGCTTATTGTTGGCATTCTCCAAATTACTGACAAGGTGCTCCCACTCTTTCCTCTTCAGGACATTACTGTCTTCAACATCAATGTACTCGGATATCAGCAGCCTTCCAAGATGGTCTTCAGCATCATTCAGATCTCTGTCAGAAGCAGCAAGGAGCTGCACCCTGTGTGCATTGATCTCAAATGTGGCATTTATTCCATTGGATATGAGGAGATCATTTGTAAGCTCCTCCTGTTTTTCATCCTTCAACCAATCAAGCACAAACTTATCTAGTTCTAAATTCTCACGTTTTAATGCAAACATTGCATCATATATAACTTTGCTTGCTGCCATAATCTCTTCCCTTAAGCCAGTTACCATCAAATCTGGACTATCTTTAGTAAATGACATTTTGATTTCGGGGTACACACGTTGCAGCTTGTCCTGAAGACCATCTTGACATAGGATGTGGAAAACTGACGGAGCCACTTTGATCTCTTGGGTTACACTAGATTTCTCCCTCTGCCACCTTTTGAAAGTCTTGTTCACAACTTCACGTAGAGTTTGCTCTAGTTTGTTAACATCAGCCACAAGGCCAACCACTGATAAAACACCATTGGCTTTATCAGGCACTACAACCACATCCTCATTCAGTAGCTCCTGTCTGATCTTCTTCTCTGACTCTTCCCATACCTCTGACTCTAGCGGAAGCCTCAGGGATTTGAATTTTGACAGAGCTTCTGCAAAGGCAGTCTTCACAGTGTCCCCCCACTCTTTGATGAGGGCTTTGGCATCCTTTTGTTGTAGTAGCAAAGATACAGGGCTCAAGCACACAGTAGATTGGTTGAGGTTCACATTGCAGAAGTGTTTTGCCAAGTGACTGTTAATGGTCTCTCTTGCTGATCGATTGTCCTTTAGGTATTTCCAGACAGCACTGTCAATTAGTTCAGAGATGGCAGCAGGGAGTTTTATGGAAGGCTTGTCTTTGCCATAGAGGGCTGTTCCTAACGATTTGTAAAACGGATAAACCCTGATCTCTTTCTGTTTGATGTGATGCTTCTTCTTCGTGACTTTCTGAACCGCTATGGGGAGAGAAATTACAAGAAAATATTACATTGTCACATCTGTCTAGAATTAATTGAATCTCTGATGTTCATAATACTACATGTATATTCACACAGTAATATTTAATATGTACTGTAACTGCACTACCTTTGTGGTCTTTGAAGGTGATGATGGCGGACTGTTCCACTTCATTAAGCACAACATTTTCCACGTCCCCACCTGCATTCTCAAAATAAAGGCGGATGAGATCCTCACTAAAATTTTCCAGGTCTTCAACCACGACTTGCTCTGTGACTTCAAGAGGTTGGACTGATAGTCCTTTCTTTGTGAAGGTCCGGTTTTGGGGGCATCTTGTCACAAAATTGGTGTTTTCTGTGAAATAGTGACAAAAAGTTAAGGTAGTTAGGCAATGACAATTTTCACACCTCTTAGGGCTTTCTTAGAAAAAGAAATCAGCCAAACATAAGATTGGTTTAAAGTTATGTTGGGATCCACACAGCACACTTTGTTAACTTACTAAATGGTACGCTGTGGAGGTTTTGACCAGTATTAGCACTGTGGAGCACGACACACAATCCTGATGATGTTTTCATGCCTTCAACGTGTTTTCTAGGTTATGAGGACTCATACAACATATTTTGGTGAAAACTACTGATTTACAGCATAACTTTGTTTGCTAGAAAAAGCACATAAGGTACCTCTACTGCTCATCGATGATTTTATATGAAGTACAGCACTTTGTCAGGTTCTATTGTCAGTGCATTGTTGACCAATATGTGTATATTCTGGCATATAGCCTTCATCTGGCATACGTGGGAATTTAATATAGGCTGCCAGTATTCAGGACGAGGACACCTCTGTGTTCTCTATGTGTGCTGACCATTACTGGTCTGGGAAACTGCAGGAATCAAAGTAATTTCTCTATTTGTCATTTCTCTTTCTTGGTGTAATTCAGCTTAGTGTTTTGCCTCACTGTAATAGTCATATTAGCTAGTTAGTTAGCTAGTGCCATCAGCTGTCTATCAAGGTGTGACGTGTCATAAATGTTTTTTTCTCATACAAATGTAATTCTGCAAAAAACAGACTTGTTTCTAAATGCTGAAAATCATCAGAAGTATGCTGGAGATTATACAGGTGCATCCTGTATCGTTTGTAAAATGAAAACCTCTGAATAAGTTGAGCTGTTTGGAACTATTACTGTAATACACACACATTACACACACACACATACACACAAGTACCTTTTCCACTCTGGAAAGTCACCACAGCAGAGGAGATTTCAGGAACTACTTCCAAGTTGAAGCTTTTAAGGGCAGATGGAGAGTCAGGATCCTTTAAGATATTCTCCACAAGCATCTCCAAAAACTCCTGGCTTAATGTTGCAGGAATATTTCCTAAAACAGCCGAAGTGGAGCAGAGCTCTTCGTCGTCTGTTGTCTCGTTGTCTCCGCCTTTCGCCTCTGTCTGAACGTCGGCTGCAGGTGTGCACTCCTCAGTGTTTGACTGTTTGTTGTCCACATCAACATCCACTGCTAATAAGACAAGAAGGTTAAATGACTGAACACACATTTCTTAATGAAGCGAGATAATATAGCACTTAACAGCCAACTATTAATACAATTTGTATTTGTGGCAAGTTTATTTCAATTTGTGGCATGCCATTAGGCCCCTACCTAAAAAAAATATTTTTTAATTTTAAAAAATTAAATATATATTTTCAATATACCTGTGCCAGCTTGCTCATATAATCTTGCTTTTCAATGTTGATAATACAACATTATTAATACTCGAGTCTCATTATCTAAAAATATGTGTACTGCCTTGTTCTAAACAAGTGTTTTTATGTCTTAATAGCCCATCAACCACAGACATGTGAACACTGTCAATACCAACAGGGCGGGGAGTGACAGCCATTTTATACAGATCATTACTGTGCCTTATCAGACGCTGCTGGGCTGTGGTAATTTATGTTCATGTTATTGATTAATATGACATTTAACCAACTATCCAAATAGACAGATAGATATTGATCAAAAGAAAAACTGAGACAGAGGGAGAGAGAGAGAGAGAGAGAGAGAGAGAGAGAGAGAGAGAGAGAGAGAGGAGAGAGGTATGTGGAGAGAAGCAAAACAGAAACAAACAACTAGGCCAGCGCGAAGCCAAGTATGAAAAGTGTAGCAGAATGTTTCTCACAACTGAAGCAATCAGTGAAATAGTTAAATTTAAGATTAGAAATCATCAGAAACAACATTTAAAAAAGTCTGGGCTTAAAAACGGTTTACAAACATTTAGGGCTTCAACTAACAATCATTTTTTTCATTACTAATTAATTGTTTGGTCCATAAAAAGTAATGGAAAGTGTTGCTCAGTGTTTCGCAAAGTCAAATGTGATGTGCTTAAATTTTATCCAGAACCCAAAGATGGACAACTGTCAAAGAGGACAGGAAACCAGAACATATTCAAATTTGAGAAGCTGAAATCAAATGAATTAAAACATGCAGAATAATTTTTCATAATCCGAGCACAGCAGACATAGTGACACTATATCAGTCACCGATGTGTGTATCTTTAAGTAAATGTTACATACAGATCTTAGTGTACTTAGTGGTTCGAGACCAGAGTGAGGCTGACCTTTTTGACCCCAAAGCATGTGGCCACATCAGCAAACCAAACTAAACACATTTTGTACGTTACGGCAATTTATCACACTTACAAAAGGTCAGCATAACCATTAAGATGTTATATTAACAAGATTTCAGCAAATACAGCTGATCCTGGTTTAAGGCCTACAATGCTCTAAGTCTCTGATTTCTCTGTCTGTCTGATCAACATGTAAAGGAAGTAACCTTTGGACCCAATTTTACTTTACTTTCTTAAACTCTAGCAATTAGGAACACAGGTGAGGTGAGGAATATCTTCCTGACCACAGAAAATTGTTTGGATAGTCCTGTTATATCCAGATATATGTATTAATGAGGTTGATAATTTACAGTAAATAAACTTCTTGCTATCCACATGATTACAGAAAATGAATAACTTATTATAAATACACTATGTGGACCCAAACAAATTGACATTATAGCTGAAAAATGAACGCAGATAATGGACAAAGCTGTACTTTTAGCTACTATAAAGTATATTATAGAATGAACTACATGAGCAGATGTACTTTTTCATATGGAAAGGGAAACCTACCATATACATTTGGGGACCTGTGTCCTTTAAATACACAAAAACCTGTGTGTGTTTTATGACCAAGAAGCAATCACACACTTATCCAACAAAGATACAGAGCACAGACAAACATATGAGAGTATGGCACATATGTGTTTTAATCTGTACTTACATTTCTGGTTGAGTTTAGGAGCTGGAGATGGAACTGGAGATGGAGATGGAGCTTCCTGTATAAAATGGACAAAAACATAGATTTTAAGTCACCTGTGTTTTTTATCACTTTGGCAACTTATGTCACCAGTTGACTTTAATTCCCTCCCTTTCATGACAATGCTTTGCAAGCGATTTGTACGTTTTGTTTTGGTATCATGTTATCCAATCACCAGGAACTAAATCACAGAATGTAGCAACGCCTTAAGTTATTATGATCACTCACATGACTGCCGGTCAGATGGAAGATGTACAGGGTTTCTCTTTCACAGCTTATCATGAACTGATACGAACTACAGTCCCCATTTCAGTCCACAGCAAATAGTTCAATATCACTGATTGATTGAATTGTTATAGGAAGTGAAAGCCGGGCTGTCTGTACCCTCCCCAAATAGGCCCTGTCACACATGCCCAATGACACTACAGGAATCTCACTCAGGTGGGGGTCTCACAGTTAATCTCTAGTGGGACACAGAGTTCACCACAGTTGCTGACAGTTTCCTTTACTAAAGGGGGGGTGTTACTAACCTGTGTTGCCGTGTCATCTGTTAATAAGCGAACAGTCATCTTCAGCACGCCTTTATCCAAAGTGATCTGATGCGCCTCTTTCCCCAAAACATTTTTTTGATCTGTAAGAAAAACGACAACAACTCTCAGTCAGTAAGGAAGTAGGATTGATTAAGAAAATAAACAAAAAAGTAAGGTTACGTTTTGTTTTTAACGTCAAAAGTCAAGTATCCGGTATAAGTTTTATCCGGCCATACTCACCCTCCACTCTGCGGAAGCGAAGCACCGCTGTCCTGCTGCCATTTTCATAATCGACTTCACAGTCGCCCCCGTTAGATTTCTTACTCTGAAAGTACTTCACTAACTTGTTTTTAAGTTTCTGTACGTTGTTTTCTTCGAGCTCGACGAGCAGAGCATGCGAGTACGCGTCTGCCATCGCCGCTGACTCGACAGCCTTCTGCCTGCTGCTGCCTGCTTTACTTTCACTTTTGATTCTCGGGAAACGAAACGGGGATTGTTTGCGACGGCGTTGTTGTTGTTGAGTGCTGCCACGAAGGAGGGCTGACGCAGAATGAGCTACAGCCTAAAGCAAAAGACACGGAGATTTGGCTGTCATATATATATTTAAAAAAAAAAAAAAAAAAAGGACACGTCCAATGAAACAGGAGCAAAAACTTGGCGAATATCCCGCGAGGCAGTTTGGAGAAGACCGCACCCGGAGTCTGACCACTGCTTTCTGTGTGTTGGTGGGTGAGTGTATTAATGCGTTACTCCTTTTTTTTTTTTTTTTTAATGAAGGTTTGCATTGCTGAATTGAATATAATCGAAATACATGTGAAGCTGCCACTTAAAAGTGGCGTAAAAACTTGTGAGCTGTCTCGTGAACGCCGTGCGTCAGGTTGCACGCGCCGAGGTGGCTGATATCTACTGAAAGAGAGAGAGAGAGAGAAAGAGAGAAGGAGAAAGAGAGAAGGAGAAAATGGCGGTTTAGTTAATCTATTAGATATTCAAACTGTTTTGAAAAGTCAACATAAACTTGATGCATGAAACCCCAACTAAATGTGTCTTTTGCACCTTTTTGGTAACAATAATTTGTTTTAAGAATCAAAATGAGCGTTAAGTGTAGTTTCTTTATAGTATGTCAGTATGCTGATACACAGCTGGAACAAAGACAGATAAGACTCCAAAATCTTATCTTAATATAGTTTTAGTTTCTCTTTGTAAAGTTTCAATGTACGTCTTTACATTTTACAAAACTAAAGTAAAGCTTAATAACTTTATTGTATACTAAATGCCCAGTAATACTAAGCACATTAGTGTAGCCTGTACTTTACAGACTATAAAGTATATTCTGGAAAGTATAGGAACACATTTAGCTTATGTCCTTGTAAGACAGGGGATTTATTAATGAGTGGGACAGTCTTATACATTTGACACTGTGTTTGTCTCCCTCTACTGTAGTGAAAGGAAAACAGCACCTACAAGGTACAAGGTTCATTTATTATATATATATATATATATAACACAGGGTGCTTTTGCTAGGCAGGCTGTATCTGGTATGCAAATATGTTGTGAATCCCCTGTAGGCTAGTAAAGTTCTCGATATGTTATTTTCCAGTGCAAAGTAGGATATTTCAGATCTGATAACAATGGCATGAAATTAAATTGTGTGTTAAGTTTTATATACATCCATAAAACTGTGATACATTTCACTGTGTCAATGTGTTCCTGGTAGGCCTCAGTAAATACCCTCTGATTCACAGCCAGTCAAATATCAACTACAAGTGATAGGGAAGGAATTATATAATGTCATTGAAAGACCAGTAGTATGGTGTTTATATTTAACCAATAATTCATTAATTACCCTTGTTTTGATTTATTAAATGAAGTCTGTGATTCCAATTTGATTGATAATCCTACTTCAAAATGTGCGCCTCTACTGCTGCTTCCATTGTTGCCATAAGGCACACTCATATTTCTTACACATTCAGCTCAAAGTGTTTATTGAGCATGTTAAGGCATTATCAGTCATTCATTTATGTTGATTTATGTTGATTCACTGTGAAACACGAGGTGTATGCATGCTGTTTGAGGTGCGATAACACTTGACTGGCAAATATACAAACACCGGTGTCAATGTATAATTTTGTCATTTAATATTTTTCTGTAGCTCTGTTTAGGGAACCATGACCAGTAAATTGGATATTCCTCTTCATGGACCTTCGGTCAACATTGTGAGACAGTGTGGATCTGCTCTGAGTGACATCATACAAAGCAAATTTGGATGTGTGGCCATTATCGATGGCGTGAGTTTTGAAGAAGACCTGAGCAATGTGCAGCAGAGAAGGTCAACTGTTGTCCCAAAAAAAAAGTGTGACTTTACACTGCGTGCAGGTATTAAGGTGTCTGTGTGGAAGGCTGATCTCACCAATTTCCAGGTGGATGCTGTTGTGAATGCTGCTAATGACCAACTTAAGCATTATGGTGGGCTTGCTTCAGCTCTGTGCTCCGCTGGTGGTCCACAAATCCAACGACAGAGTGATGATCACATCAGAGTGCACGGTAACCTGAAAACGGGAGATGCAATCGTCACTGATGCTGGGTCACTACCATGCCGCAAGATAATTCATGCTGTGGGTCCCCAACTGTTCGCACATCACAGTAAATATGATGTTGATCGTGCTGAACCGCTGTTAGAGAAGGCCATCAGGAGCATTCTTGACAGAGTTAAAGAAAACCATCTGAATACTGTTGCTATTCCTGCTATAAGCTCCGGACTGTTCAACTACCCCCTGCCGCAATGTGCAGACACCATAGTGAAAACCTTGAAAGAGTACTATGAATTCTCTTCAGGATATTTTCCTAAAGAGATCATGCTTGTGAACAATGATGATCCTTCAGTCAATGAAATGGAGAGGGCCTGCGCTCAGATATTAGGCTCCCATGCTCCTGTGACATACAGTCAACCAACAGCGCAAGGCTGGAGCAAAGGTAGTGCCAACACCTCAGCACTTAATGCCCAGATTGAAAATGTCCATGTCACACTGAAGAGGGGTTACATTGAGGAACAGCGGGTAAGTAAAAAAAAATTTCTTCATTAATAAATTCATTGATAATTTATTTATTTACATACATACATTCTGGTGTTCCGGTTTTATGAAGAACAACATATTACAACAACTTCCTTGTTTTTGTATCCTCTCAGACGGATGTCATTGTAAACACAGTAACAAGCCGAGACCTGAACCAAGGTCAAATCTCCAAAGCTTTACTGCAGAAAGCTGGTAATGGGATGCAACAAGAAATGAATGCAGTTTACAGCAACAAGAGAGGATATATGGTCATCACACATCCCTACAAGCTACAGTGTAAAGAGGTGTATCACACGAGTTGCACTGAAAACTATCGAAGCCCAGCACAGCAGGTACAGTATGAGTTTAATTGTTATCAAGCATTTAATGATCCAGTATGTAAGATTTAGGAATTCTACTGGCAGAAATGGAATATAATATTCATAGGTCCTCCGTAGTTTCTCCTCCATTCTTAGATGGGGAAGACTGAGGCAAGTGGCACTCAGTTGCACTCTGCCACCTCATTATTAGATTCTACTAAATCATTCACAATTTACCTTTTAAGAGAAGGGATAATATATATTATATTAATATACTCTCTAGATGTATTTCTCTTTTACATATCTGATGACGTTTTCGGCTGTCTGGCCTTCAAGATCAACAATCATAGTCAGACACAGGCACTGGTATCTTATATAAACCACACCCTCGTTACCCCCCATCATCACCATAAGTGAACAATCAAGAGGGCTTCAGACAGTCAGAACTCCAAAAACTCCAGGTGCTAAAGTCAATAAAAAATAGAAACACATCTCATATCACATATAAAGATTTAAATGACGCATTAATAACCAACGACTAATAGAGCCAGGATGTGCAACAGTACATATAAAACTGTTTATGTTGTATTGTAATATATTTAATGTTTTTTTCTGTCCACTTATTTATTCGTTACAGACTCTTTCCAGTTCAGTATTGGATTGCTTATTGACGGCACAAGCAAAAGGCCATAAGTCAATTGCTTTTCCTGCCATCGGCACCGGAGGCCTCGGGTTCAAGAAAAAGGAAGCTGCCTGTGCCATGTTAGGAGCAGTGAAAGAATTCGCCACAAAGCTACTTAAGATGGAGGTTTATTTTGTCATATTTCCTTCTGATGATGAGACGTTTAAGGTTGGTTTGACAAAAATGCTGTCATGATCTTAGAATAATATTTCCATGTGGGTGGCTGTATAGGTTTCTTAACAGTAATCATAATAGACTAACAACTTAGAAAGGGACAGAGAAACACAAATGTGAGAGTCATTAAAAGATTGTAAAATATGTGTACTGATGATTGAACTTAAAGGTGACTTAAGTTCAAGTGTTTTCTGACTGAATAACTCAAGGAAATTCCATTCATGCTTTGTGAACTGTCTCATAGAAAAGAAATATATATATATATATATATATATATATATATTAATGAATTGCCTTCTCTTGCTAGGCTTTTGAGGAACAAATGAAACAACTCAAGGAAAAGACATCTCATCCCAGCTTCACACATGGTAACACAACATTTCAGTTATTTCATGTACACAAAGGTGACCTTTATTGTAAGTACCTATGGGGATGATTGTGATTGAACGCCTCATACTACCTGAACCACTGCAGTGCAGAACACTAGCAGAGTCTCCAAGAAACAACTAAATGTAATTAAATGATTAAAAGTAATAGTGATCCTAACTGGCAGCACTGATGGCGGATGCTCTCTCCACCAGAAACTGAGCGCAGAGATGACTTCCATGGCAGCAGAGCTCCCCCTCCACAGATCACCCTGAGGGCATCCTCTGATGCAGCGACACGCGAGGCTGAACGATGGCTCCAGGGCCTTCTCTTTGGATCCCCTGGCGCTGTCGTCATCAGCAACAACTTCATCCAGCACTTCGGCGAAGAAGAACATCGGCAGCTATCCCGGCTAATGAAAAAGGCTGTTTCCATTGAGGAGCTCTTTCAGATTGGCCGTGCAAGCATAATTGTACACGAGGGTTTAAATGAAGATGTTGTAGTTGCTGCGTTGCAAGTGGAGGCCATGCTTTGCAACATCCAGAGGAAGTTTATCGCAGAGGAAGAGTCTGCCATGTTTCTGATCTCGCGTCAGGATGTGTCCTTTGAAAGAAAGATGATTGATTCCTCCTACCCCGAGTTCTCAGTCAGGTCATTTGACTTCACATCTAGGGAGCTGGACGTAGTGAAGGTACAGTATGTGTAAATACAACATGGTTGACGTTGAAAACTATAAAGCTTTGTCATTTGGTTAATGTCATTAGAAGTTTTAATATGTCTTCACACACATTTAATTATGCTACATTTAAAATATCACATTACTTCCTTAAATTAAAAGTGTTTGTACTAGTTTGTTTAAGAGTTATCTGCAAGTGTCTTACTGATTGACTTGTGAAACATTTTATTGTAGTTATTATATTTTGTACTTTATTATAGGTGGAAAAAGTGGAGAACGCTGCACTGAAGATGTTGTTTGACCTCAAGAAAAAACAGCTAGGCTGCTCCACTTCTCAAAAAATGTTTCAGTGCATATCTGCACAGTTCTGTGAGATGGTTAGCCATATTGGATTCCATGCAGAGTACGCACCACCTGATGGTATGATAATACTTCAAATAGCATTTGATACTCTTTACATCTGGTTATTGATGGTTTTGTAGGATGTTAAAATTACAGTCATATAAATACAGAATAATGAAGTTAGAATATGAGTAATAACAAAGATAAATAGAAACAATACAAGTATTTGTCTTGTGTATCTTCCTCTGTATACAGACCCTGCATGTGGAGAGGGTATCTACTTTGCCCGCACAGTGAGAAAGGCCATGGAGGTGTGGAAGCAGCCTGACAACGAGTATCTGCATTTCGTTGAGGCCGAGGTGGTGACAGGAAAGTCCTGCCCTGGTAAACCAGGTCTCATTTTGCCACCCGCTGTGGGGTCAGACCCACAGATTCGGCATGACAGTGTGAGTGGAGGACCTGATATCTCGGTCATATTCAGTGGTTATCAAGCTCTGCCCACGTACATTATCACCTGCAAGAGGTTCCGAAGATAATTTTCTTAAACTTTAGCAGATGCAGGAATGCTAGAATAGTGCTAGAGAAAACTAAACAATTAGAGTTTGATTCTTCTAAAACAAGTTGAAGTGCATTCTTAATGAATGTATTTACTATAGGAAAGAATTGGCTGTTGCACTTGAAATCATATAATGGAGACCGATACCACATGTCATGTCACATAAATGTCAAAGAGGAATCACAAATGTTCAGATATTTTTCTTATTTTCTATAAATCCTTTTTATCCAGCTTAAATTTCGTTTTTCATTCTAACTTTTTTTTTTGATTAACATATATTTTACATAGCAGCACGATCATTTGTCTATCAATCAAACATTCAACTTTACAAATTCACTGTGTTATAGCAATAGCATACCTTTAACAATATTAATCATTTTAGTGGCACATAATACTATAGGTGCAAATATCACTGGGGCAACTTATTCTACCAAGTTTTATGTTGATTTCATTTAATTAAGAGGACTACAGGTTGACACATAGGGGATTTGCATTAAAGATGATTGTAACCTAATTGTTAAATGCTGACAAAATCAAATTGTGTGTGATGCTGATATACCAATAAAATGTTAAAAAGTTGGATTGTTGTATTCTTTTTTTGTTTAAAGAATTTAAGACAGTTTCTTCTAAAACCTAACTTTAAGTCACAACACCACTTCAGAGAATATGTAAACACAGCACATGATTTTTAATACTTTTGCTGCCTTGTTTACTAATAATTTATATTTGAAGATCATTTTAATGACGCTCAACAACAAAACCTGATCATCAGATTAACATTTACTGTAACAACATGTAACGTTACCGTAACAGTGAACAAAATGAAACAACTGATTCACTTAAATCATACACCGGACATATAAGACATATTTTTAATGATACAACAACACAAATGTTAGAAATCACAGTCTATTGAGCACGAAAGTTTATCCTTGACCTTGGAAATTGTTTGACAAAAAAGGTCCATTCAGTAGAATTTACCAGAGCTTTCAGCTGCATCTCAGTGGATAAAGTTTACTCTGTTGTCATGGAGACCTTGAATTGAAAAAACACAAAACTGTTATTAAATATTAAATTAGTAAATGCCTTGAGATGGATACATTTTCAATGTTTTAATTTCCAACCAGGACTTTATAAAAATGTTTATCTTAAATTGTGTGTAACCACAAAATCTAGCCTTTACATAGAAAACAAGACTTATAATTTTACAGCACAACAGAACCCCACACATCTCTGAGGACAACAGGAAGTCTCCAAAGTATTTTTGGATATCAGCAGGTGATTCACTTCCGCTGTTTATACGATTTCTATACAATTACTGGCAATAATGTCACATCTGTATGATTGTCTGTGAAATTGTTACTACCGTTAAATTGTAGACAAGGATGTTTTGACACATTACAGCAGTCTGCTAAAAGCTAATTACATATGAATGTAAGATCAACTGGCTGAACCAACCATACACAGACCATTTAACACGTCAACGTCAGACTAAACAAAGACACTCCTGAGCAGTGCACGCTGGAATGAGGCTACATTCAAGGAATAATCTTGTACCCTGGTATTTGATCCTCCTATTGCGCAACATTTAAACATACAACAGAAGAGCAGGGGGACAAGAAGTCTGGGGTTTGTGTTATTTATAAAGTGGTTGTTTTCTACAAAATCACAATAGGTACAGAACGTCTCTAAGAGAACACCAGCTGCAGATACATATGGCACATCTGGACTCCAATATTGATAACAGTACTACAATTTATAGTATTTATAATCAATATAAAGTACAAGTTTACGACTCAAAAAAGTGTTTCAATGTGAAGTTACATTTTGAGACAGTAAATCCCTTTTTCTGGCTGAAATGTATGGCTGTACCCTCTCCTCTAAAACTGCCCAGACTGCAGGTCCCGTCTTCAACTTGTACTATATTAACACAGGGCAACCTTTACAGTACCGATGTATGGCTAATATACCCTCCAGAGTATGGCCATCCAAACTCTGGAGCGCATATTTTTGTCAGTTGGTCCCTGACTCCCAATAGCTTTAAATGACTTTTTTTTTCTACTCTTCACAGATACCAAGAGTCACACGTACAAACGAGATCTCTGCTTTCACACAAATGTAAAAACACGCACACACACGGTCACTCTGTGCATTCAGCTATCTCTGTGCCATCCACGAGCAGCGTGTGGATGATCCCGTCTCGTCTCTTCCCGCTGCTGACGGCCTTCACGCAGCAGTTGTGGTCCGCTAGTGTGAAATGTGTTTCTGTGCCGTCGTCCACGAACTCCCCCTGCAGGGGCAAACGTGTGGGGAAAGAAAGCAATCATTCAGTTCATTATTGCCCGCTCTGGAGAAGGTCTAATATGCAAGCAACTGTAGAAAATACAGTGTGTTTGAGGCTTTGTACCCTTAGCTTTTATAATGCTGACTTTAGGAGACATGCATTAACAACCTTGATAACAGAATCTACATATAACTTCTTAAATGCAATATGTCCTTTATTGCATAACAAATCAGTATGAATAACTGTACTGTACTTACTGCAGTCTCAATCTTTTGTCCATTACACCAAACATCCATTGTGTCTTTCTCTGAAAGAAAGTAAACAGAATCTGAATCACCTGTTAAATAAAAGTATGTGGTGTGACTGCCAGTTAATAGTTGATGAACAGGTCGGAGTATGTGTACTGCCAGGTTTGAGTCCCTGTTTGTTTTCACTGCTTTTAGGCGTTGGTGTGAGAATGTTTGTGTTTATCTAGTGTGCCAGAACAAGCAAGAGAGCAATGCCCTGATTGGTATCCTTTCTGTGTCTTGAATCACTTGCAGGCTTTCCTTGACACCTAAAAATAGTCAAGTCAAGTCAAGTCAGCTTTATTATCAAATAAATATAGAAAAAATCATGTATTGACCTGCTCTTTGTTTAAGGATTGTTTTAGTCAAATAGAAAATATGAAAATAAAGCCTAACCAAACAATTCTTCACGTATGTTTCACTGATAACTGACAACTGCAGCAGGTCCTGGTTTTGAAATCCCACCATTACTAGAGCCGTGGTGGTGATGCATGATGAAGTAAAGATAATATTGTTATTGTTGTTTTTGTGTGTTTTTTCGAAGATAATTTTAACTCTTGTAAACCGTCTTTGAGTACCATGAAAGATGTGACTTTTATATGGCTGAAAGCTTTATATGAATGCTGCAGGTCTTATTTTGATTGGTTAAAGCGACCTCTTGAGGACACTTGTGAAGTTACTGAGAGCTACCAGTGAGTTGAAGTTAAAAGCAAGCAAACTTCCTCCCTTAAAACTACATGAGGGGTTTAATGGTTCTAATTACAACATGTTGAGAAGTTACAGCTTATCAAACAACATTTAAACTCAACGGTGACCAGGATCACAGCTACAAAAGTTGAGCTGTGAGACTACTACTGCAGCTCACACTCACATATTTCTGCTCGCTCACTGAATTATTTCGATTATTTTACTGCTGAGATTTACAGATAACTGTTGCACACTAATGTACAGTAGCTCTCATGTGTCGCACCGCTTCAGGTGTATCGCCTGATCAACTGTAAGCAGTGTAATTATAAGAAGGATTAACTTAAAGATGTCCAAATGACAGCGGTAGCTGAAGATGGCGTGGGGTTTAAAGCTGTTAAAGAGCTTAGCCTCAGCTCCAACATAATATAAGTAGCAAGTTCTGGAGGGGCAGAAATCACACAATGTTAATTTATATATAAATCCAGTGTCTGTCCTGATTGATTGCATGAATGAACAAATAAAACCCAGCAACTCTCGGCTCAGTATATGGGCAATATGACAATATGAAATCATAACAAACAAAGACATAATCAGTAAACGATCAGTAGGTGAGTAATATACAAACACAGAGAGGCTCACCCAGGACCACCCTGCAGTCAATGCCATCCAAGTTGAGAACCCAGGTGCTGGTGACCTTTGATCTGTTCTCCATGTACTTCTTCAAGCTCTTCCCATTGATCTCCAAGGTGTACTCATAGGCAAAACCACTGACTGCATCAATGTTGATGGTTGCTTTGGTGTCTGATCTGCCCACACTGAAAGTCTCCTTCCCCACAAGTTTGAACATCCAGTCCCGTCTCACTACCTCCTGCAGTGAAAATCAGAGATTTACAAACCCCACAAATGAGAGAAGCTTCATAAAATGGGGGTCAGGTTTTTAAAAATAAACATTACTTAAGACCACGATCCGTACCTTTCCATCAACGAAGATGACCCTCTTTCCGGTGGTCGTGCCATGTTCAAACTCTATCCTGTGGACACCATCACTCAGTGCCACCTCCCACACACCAGCAAGATCATTCGACATCTTCAGACCCTGCTGGAGACGAACAATAAAGAATAACTAGACCGCAAGTCGAGGCAAATGCATGAGTAACGTTTAACGCTAATATCTAAGTAACGTCAGCTAACAAACTGGGCTGACGTTGGTTAATAATAAAGCAGCGTTATCATACATTTATGTGCAGGTTTAAGCGTATCCACCCAAAGACACTGCTACCTAAGTAAAGTAATTACAGTGTATAATGTTAAAACGTAAACAGTTAGAAAAACATGGCTATGGATAATGCGGGAAGTTATCGCTGTTTGTTGCGTTGTGACTTCCGGTGTCAGGGTTTCCCTTTCAAAATAACCGCAAGCAACGTTTGAACTATTTCAGATTAAAAGCTATTAAAGCTTTACAAAACAGTAAAACCCTAGTTTCTGAAACATCATACATAGATTGACATAAGGTGGGTGTTGGTTCTCTGCGTTTTCAATCAAACATAACCAAAAGTAGCTGTTTTTAATAAACTGGCATTTTATTTTGAAAGTCAAAAACGGAGCGCCAGTACAATGTCTCTCTTTTCGGTAGCTCTGACGGCTAACGAGGATAACCTTAGACATTAGCAAAGAGCTATAACCCTTCATTATATATCCTAATTACCTTTTAATGGTCCCGAAGTAAGCGCCCCAGCTCAGTGCTTGACAAATGACCGGCGGGCCACTTTAATGAAGTTTACTCACGGGTAAGTTAGCCACCGCAGAGAAAGTCAACAGACGAGCTGTGACTATGCTGTTACTATGGTAACATGATATACGCCTACGTACGCGCTTGGCCACGCCCACCCAGGACATCCAATCCAATCCAATCCAACTTTATTTGTTAAGCACTTTAAAACAACCAAAGTTGACCAAAGTGCTGTACAGGAGAATAAATAAGACATCATAAATAAAAGACATAACAGCTCACATGGAGACAATCTCATTCAGCAGGTTTGATTCAGTGTTGGAGCAACAGGAAGAAAACCTAAACCAGGGTTGATACCTTTCAGCAACCAGCTGGAGTGAGATTGTTAAACCAATGTCGGGGGACTATAAAATGCAACATTTGTGTCTGAGATGGAGGTGAATGCAATTTAGGACTGTTTCTTGGATGGATTTTTTATATGCTGTGAGCGAAACAAAAATGTAATTCCACTCATCTCATGTGTATTAAAGATGGGTGCGGATATCTCTGAGACAAAAACCTCTAAAAACCCGGACAAATAAATTATAAACTATGCTAGTAACTATAGAAGTTAATGAGCCCACACACAGTCATGGAAAGTATGTTTACTATGGACTAACTGTATAAAAACTAATATTTTGAAGCTCTTTATAATTATACTCACTACATTTCAGAGGAAAATAATGCACTTTTTTATCGACTTACATTAACCTGACAGCCAAACTACCAAACAGTATAAAAAATATAGTTAAAATTATCTCTGGAGAAAGTTATTTAACATGCTACATACACATTGCTGCATCAGAAATAACAATCCAGTTATATATATATATATATATATATATATATATATATATATATATGACATCACCAATCATGTTATGAGAATGAGAATAACAAATAAATGAAAATTGTCCCAGACCAACTAAGTTCACTGATTCTGGGACTAAATGATTTGGCTCTATCTTCTGGCAGAGAGCTTTACGTCTAATAAGGACACTGAGTATTTGTAAGGAACATACAATATTGTAGGAGGGAACGTTTTGTGATTTTAAACTGTAACATAACTCTGGTACCAAACCCTTTTTATGGATATGGTTTGTGATCAGATGATACTTTTAATTCAATTCAATTCAATTCAATTTTATTTGTATAGCGCCAATTCATAACAGAAGTTATCTCAGGACACTTTTCAAATAGAGCAGGTCTAGACCGAACTCTTTAAAACATTAATTACAGAGACCCAACAGTACCACCATGAGCAAGCACTTGGCGACAAGGGCAAGGAAAAACTGCCTGTTAAAAGGCAGAAACCTCGGACAGATCCTTCGGCTCTAGGTGGGTGGTCGTCTGCCTCGACCAGTTGGGATGAGAGAGAGAGAGCGAGAGAAAGAGAGAGAGAGACAGAGAGAGAGAGAGCGAGAGACAGACAGACAGGTGCACAGCAACAACAGTATTGGCAATGGCAATCTAGCAGGACCATGGCAGGAGGCTCCACCAGGATCGACAAGAACCTGCGAGACGAGAAAGCACAAGAACTCCGGGGAAGAAGTGAAGTTAGTAACATGCATTAATGGGACATGAATGAGTGCAGAAAGAGGAAGAGAGGAGCTCAGTGCACCATGGGAAATCCCCCGATAGTCTAGGCCTATAGCAGCATAACTAAGGGATGGTTCAGGACTCACCTGATCCAGCCCTAACTATAAGCTTTATGAAAGAGGAATGTCTTAAGCCTACTCTTGAATGTGGAGAGGGTGTCTGCCTCCCGAACCACAACTGGAAGCTGGTTCCACAGGAGAGGAGCTTGGTAACTGAAGGCTCTGGCTCCTGTTCTACTTTTAGAGACTGTAGGAACCACAAGTAGCCCTGCATTTAGAGAACGTAATGTTCTAGTGGGGTAATAGGGTACTATGAGCCCTTTAAGATATGAAGGGGCCTGACCATGAAGAGCTTTATAGGTGAGGAGGAGGATTTTAAATTCTTTTCTACATTTTACAGGGAGCCAATGCAGAGAAGCTAGTACAGGACAGATGTGATCTCTTTTTCTAGTTCCTGTCAGTACTCGTGCTGCAGCGTTCTGAATTAATTGGAGCGTTTTAATGGACTTATTGGGGCAACCTGATAATAAAGAGTTGCAGTAATCCAGCCTTGAAGTAACAAATGCATGGATTAGTTTTTCTGCATCTGTCTGTGACAGTATGTGTCTAATTTTTGTTATATTACGTAAATGAAAGAAGGCAGTCCTAGAGGTCAGCTTTATGTGGGAGTTAAATGACAAATCCTGATCAAAGATAACTCCAAAATTCCTGACAGTGGTGCTAGAGGCCAAGGTAATGCCATCTAGAGTAACTATGTCTTTAGACAGTGAGTCTCTAAGGTTTTTGGGGCCAAGAACAAGAATTTCGTTTTTTTTTCGTTTAACATCAGAAAATTGCAGGTCATCCAGGACTTTGTAATTTAGATAATTGATTAATTTCATCAGGCTTGATTGATAGATATAACTGCATATCATCTGCATAACAGTGAAAGTTAATGGAGTGATTCCTAATAATGTTGCCTAAAGGGAGCATATATAAAGTAAATAGTATTGTCCAAGTACAGAACCTTGTGGAACTCCATGACTAACTGTAGTATTTACTGAAGATTCATCGTTAACATGTATAAACTGCAGACGATCTGATAAATATGACTTAAACCAGCTTAGTGCGGTTCCTTTAATGCCAATTTGATGCTCAAGTCTCTGTAAAAGAATATCATGGTCAATGGTGTCAAATGCAGCACTAAGATCTAATAATACAAGTACAGAGACAAGTCCACTGTCAGAAGCAGTCAGAAGGTCATTATTAACTTTAACCAGAGCTGTCTCTGTGCTATGATGAACTCTAAATCCTGACTGAAAATCCTCAAATAAACTATTGTTATGTAGAAAGTCACACAACTCTTTGGCGACTACTTTCTCCAGAATCTTAGAGAGGAAGGGGAGGTTAGAAATCGGTCTATAGTTGGCTAAAACCCCTGGGTCAAGAGTGGGCTTCTTAAGAAGGGGTTTAATTACAGCTACTTTAAAGGACTGTGGTACATATCCTGATAATAAAGAAAGATTAATCACATCCAGTAAAGAAGTGCCAATTAAGGGAACAACTTCTTTAAGCAGCCTAGTTGGGATCGGGTCTAATAGACAGGTTGATGGCTTCGATGAAGAAATGATTGAAGTTAACTGATGAAGATCGGTAGCAGAAAAACAGTCTAAATATATATCTAAGTTTACACTGACAGAAGTCCCTGAACTTGGAGACCCACTGATAACTGTTGATGGCAGTTGGTGATTAATTTTCTCTCTAATAGTAATAATTTTATTATAGAAGAAGCTACTTAAGTTTATGAGGATATGTGGCTCAATAGAGTTGTGACTCTCTCTCAGCCTGGCTACAGTGCTGAAGAGGAACCTAGGGTTATTCTTATTTTCTTCTATTAGTGCTGAGTAATAGGCTCCTCTGGCATTACGGAGGGCCTTTCTATAAGTTTTAAGATTATCTTGCCAAATTGAGCGATATTCTGATAATTCGGAAGAGCGCCATTTCCTTTCAGATTTCCTAGCTATTTGTTTTAACTGGTGGGTTTGGTGGTTATACCAGGGTGCTAGTCTCCTATGTTTTAATAATTTCCTTTTTATAGGAGCGATAGAGTCTAATGTTGATCGTAGTGAGCCTGCAGCACTATCGACAAGATTATCAATTTCAGAGGGACTAAAGTCGTTATAGGACTCTGTTAAATTCAGACATGGCATTGAATTAAACACTTGTGTAATGAAAAAAACATCTTGAGAGACACAACATAAAAACATAAAGCATAATGAGCTTTTTTAACATTAGCACACAGGTAAATTGTCAACTAAGAGAACAATGGACAAATTATGTAGGGCAGACTTCTGGACCCTTTTCTTTGGTACAGAGCAAAGACTTTGCGTAGGCAGAATATACTTCCTTCCAACTTTGTCAAATAAATGCTGACCTGTGTGCTGGTCTCAACTTGGTGCACATAGCCACTGTATGAGAATGTATTTGAGATCAGCCATCCCCAGTACTACCAGTTATTTCACATCATAAAACATATTTTTTTGCCTTATTTTAATAAAACTTAACCCATAAAGACCCACGGTGACACTTTAAATGTTTTGAAAATGTGTTCTATGTGGTCTATTTAATCTGTCTTATGTCCCCCATAATGTCCCTTAAAGGAGAAATAGGTCTGGGTTCTTATGGGTTCATAAAACTTTTTTTAATGTTTTCTTCCTACTGGTCATGACTTGTGAGGGAGGTTGCGACAGTGCATATGGGAACATACTGATAAATGCTATGCTGAATATTAATTTTCATAGTCACTATGGTAAACAGCAGAACAGGGTTACGTTAGGGACCACAAACAGAACGTGGCCACCATGACAATTATGTTTCAGTTTTGGACTGCAATTCACTGTCAGGTTTTTGGATTAGAGACCTGTTTCTGTTATCCACATTTAATAACAATTTAGTTAAAATCCCATCAATTTTGGATGTCCTGGAAGGGTTTTACTTACAACTATTTACCTGTTTCTTGGAGAAAACTGCTGCACATTTTAGCTTATACTCATTTTGCCTTGCCAGAGGATCTGCTCCTCTGTCTAAGTAGACTAATGTAACACATATAGTAGAACTCATTTAATGACCGAAACAATGAGTCACATAACTTGGCTGAGGAAAGATGGGAAACCACACATGGTTTTGGGTTTGAGGATTTATTCGATCACAAGTAAGATATATCAATCCAAACTAAAGCAGTGCAGATACCTGGAAAGTGTCATACAGAAAACAAACAAAATACCCAAAAGCTAAAAGATAGGTGAAAGAGTTTTTCAAGGACCTTCATAACATAAACTATTCACAAGTTATATTTCAGCTGCTTTTCCAATCAGTACAATTTCTTGCACTATTTAGCCATTTATTTTCCATACTGTATAGTGTGAATTTGTAATTACACACTACACTACATATACACTGATCAGCCATAACATTATGAGCACTGACAGGTGAAGTGAATAACACTGATTATCTGGTTATCATGGCACTTGTCAGTGGGTGGGATATATCAGGCAGCAATTGAACATTTTCTCCTAAAAGTTGATGTGTTAGAAGCAGGAAAAATGGGCAGCATGAGGATTTGAGTGACTTTGACAAGGGCCAAACTGTGATGGTTAGACGACTGGGTCAGAGCATCTCCAAAACTGCAGCTCTTGTGCGGTGTTCTCGGTCTGCAGTGGTCAGTACCTATCAAAAGCGGTCCAAGGAAGGAAAAGCCGTTAACTGGGGACTGGGTCATGATGAGCACCCAAGGCTCATTGATGCACGTGGGGAGCGAAGGGCTGGCCCGTGTGGTCCGATCCAACAGAGGAGCTACTGTAGCTCAAACTGCTGAAACAGTTAATGCTGGTTCTGATAGAAAGGTGTCAGAACACCCAGTGTATCACAGTTTGTTGCATATGGGACTGCATAACATTACGACCACCAGGGTGCCCAGGTGGTCACAATGTTATGGCTAATCGGTGTACATGTTGGGTTATACATAATACAGTTTTTCAGACAAGCATAAAATAACTCTAAATATAGGCTGAGCGTATCAGGTTTTTTCAAATATGAAAACATCCCTTTACATGTAATTCTGTTATGCCACAATGGCTGCTTGCACAATTTCTCAGAAAGACACAATTTGCACCCACGCAGGTGCACACATGCACACACACCACATCTGCGTGCCAACTGCGCACACATTCATGTGATCAAGGTACACATTTGAATAAACAGATGAAGTATATCTTATTTAGCACAGCCAGATGTCAACTTCAAGACAGAGTGTAGCATTAATTAAAAACACAGTTTGATGCCCCAGCAGTTTGTACAGACCCTATAAGTGTGCCCTTAATGCCTAAAATCAGTCATCAGAGACAGACAGCACCTTGTTTTTAAAAAGATTGAAAGATGAAGGAATCTGATCTGAATCTAATACTCTTTCTGTTCTCACTACTGATTGCCATAAGGGCAAAGAAATCCATTCAAATTAAAAACTACAAAATAAAAACATGGTTCTCCAGTCACGTCCACATTGTCTCTGAATCCAAAACACAATTATATTACGTTATTAAAGGACTTAAATGGCTATAAAATGTGTAAAATGTTCCTAAACCACAATAAAATCTCAATAATTCACCAGTTATTATGGCACATCATCAAAGTAGTCAGTGGCTGTGTAGCTTTCTCTAACTGCTTTGTTTGCATGCCACATTTTTCTCCATTGACAATGATTGATTTATGTTTGAGCACAAAGTTAACATTCTTCAGTGTGATTAGTTGTCCAATGGTTAATAACATGATTTAAAGGAATAACTTTTAGGAAATAAGCCATGTCCCTTTTTCCAGTATTTATGCTACATATTTACTGTACAGACATATAGAGTGGTATTAATCAAATGAAAATGACCAGCAACCGAGCCAATCCATCAGGAGTCATTTACATAGTAGCAGAGGTGAGTCTAGATCTGGTGCTCCCTGCACTGTTGACAGAGCCCTTCCTGTAAGCATTCTGGAGCCTCTTGCTGATGAGGCCATGTTTGTAAAGAGCTAAGAGCAGCTGGTTACGGAACTTCTGCCCAATGAAGGCATACAGCACTGGATTCACTGCACAGTGCGAGAAGGCCAACAACTGGGTCACATTTAGGATCACTACCAATATGTAGCGAGATTGACATGTCTCCACTTTAAGAGATCCGCCTCGTATGAGTGTGTCAATCAGTACAGTTATGTTATAAGGCAGCCAGCACAGAACAAATGCTATCACCACTGCCAGGATGACGCGTATGGCCTTATATTTTTGTTGATTACGTGCATGAAACAGCTTCACCAAAGTCCAGCCATAGCAGACAGCCATCACCACCAGTGGCAGGAAAAAGCCCATAGTATGACGTAGAACACGAATGCCAACACGCCAGTGGTTGCTGCTTTCACCAGTTAGGTTTTCATAGCAAATGGCCAGGCCCAGGTCTTCAGCGTGCATGCTCTCCTTTAGAATTGCCACAGGTAAGGACAGTAGTCCAGCCGCCACCCACACCACACAGCACACAACTTTCACCAACAGGTGATGGGACCGGGCATGTGTAGCTCTCACAATGGCGCAGTAACGGTCCACACTGATGCAGGCCAGCAGGAAGACACCGCTATATACCGATACCTCCTGAAACCCTGACAGGAGTTTGCACGGGAAGTTGCCGAAGATCCAACCAGAATGAACATTGACGGCCCAGAATGGCAGGGTAAAGCTGAAGAGAAGGTCCGCCATCGCCAGGTGCATCAAGTAGATATCTGTGCTGGCTCTACCTTTCTTCATATAGCAAACCACATAGACAACTACACTGTTGCCTACCATGCTGAAGACACACACGATGATGAAGGTGATCATCAGGCCCAAGCTATTGAATCCAGGCACATTTACACTGCAAGGAGATGAGTCATCTTCATACGTAGGAAATGTAAAATTTTCGAGGTCAAATCCCTCTGTTGTTGTCAGCTAAATAAAAAAAAGAACAATTACAGTTTGTACTAGTAGCAGTAGAAGAAGAATCAATAGCAGAACTGATGGTTCGGTGATGCCATAGTGGCACTGTAGCTTTCAGTGAAAAATTTTTTGTCCCATAAACCCAAATTACTCAACCTCAAGAGCTTTAAAGGAATAGTTTGATATGTTGGGAAATATGCTTCTTTGCTTTCTTGCCAAGAGTTAGATGACAAGAGCAAAAACATCCTCATATCTGTTCATTAAATGTAATCCAAACGCCAGCAGCTCACTTGGCTCTGTCCAGATAATCTGCCTACCGCCACCTCCAAAGCTCACTAATAAAAAATTTTGGAAGCCGCCATGCCTGGCCAAGAAATAGTCCCATTACTCACTGCGATTCCACAAATTGCAATTTTTTTCCCTTCAGCTTTTATATTGATTAAAAAAACATGGTATGCAAATTAGTGACAGACAGACATGAAAGTGGTATTTTCTTATCTAATTCTCAGCAAGAATATGACAAAGCATACTTAGATATTAAAAACAGTTCATTTAACAGAAGGTCCATGGACTGCAGTTTTTCACCCAAAAACATTTCTGGGTAGTGAAGTCGTCAATATACAATTTCCTGATTTCAGTGCATGAAACTACTTAATGCAGTTTTAATAGTTTAAAATGTTTAAAATTACCTCATTAGCACTATTTTAGACAACAGATTTACATATGAGTTATTCATATCATCATCATATGCTCACATTTACCAATACCATAACTGCAAATTATAAAATAAAAGTTCAGGAATTCAGTTTACCTGTGTTCCTTCTTTTTCTTGATTGGTTAGAACCAAATACTTCAAAAAACTGACAATCAAAAGTTGCAGTTTCATCTCTCCTTTCTTGATGCACACAAGTTAACAAGAATAAAGCTATTTCACAAAGAGTGGTGTTAAAATGGTTCAAGTCCCTGTGTGTGCAGTCTATTACCAAACTGTCACTATCACCTCAAGGGAAGTGCACGAACCACAGATATTATCTATCAAAAACAATCTACATAAATAAGACCTCCTTCAGGTTGTTTTTCTTTGTAAACCTTTACCTCTCACTGTTACATGTTCAATGTATCAGGATGTTGCTAAATTGAACCTGCAGATGATAATGTAACTTTAATATAATAAAGTATAGTAAATATAGTAAATTACTTGATATGATTTCATGGTTTCACATTTGTTTCTCTCTAACACACTGATTAAGGGTCCCAGTACCCATCCTGGTATCATAATCACAGAAGTACAACACAGTGACACCCATTTGTAATTGATGCAGACCAAATTGTTACAAAGCTTCATTAGTAAAATATTAACATTAAACAACTGGAAAATTCTGTTTCACCAGTACATGACGTTTTTTGATCTGTTTCAGATTTACCCATGGCACTGAAACCTTCCTTATCAGTGTAATCAGTGAGCTCTACATCAAGAGTGATTCAAAAAGAGTTTCCACTGTGGTACTCTTTGCATTTGTAGTTTCACATTTGTCAAAAATAAAAATGTATCTGGTGTTTCACAAGGCACAACTCTTGGACTCTTGCCTTTGGATCCAAAAAGTAACCTAAATAAAATGGAAACTTCAGACAGTTGGTTTCTTTGTGCATGGATGTTGTTGCTTGTGGTTTTTCTCTTACAGACGTGTGAGTGTCACTGCACTGGTTTGTGTCTGTGGGTTTTTTTTTTTTCTGCCTTTTGGATGTTTTTTAAGGACATTTCAGTCTTTTCTTGTCATATCACATTTATACCTGTTATTTGTTGCTGCATGCATTGTAATGCAATATAAAGCATATACCAATAATGACTTGTGCTATAAAAATGCTTTGTCTTGCCTTCTCCATTCATAATGAACTCCTGCATTTTACATTCTAACACTACATAAGAAGTACTATAACTTTCACTGCATGTATGACACATTGTGGTTAACTAACTCTTGGGTAACTGTTTACTGAACATTGACATAATGGCTTCCTTAGATATGGCTTCTAAATGTATTTCATGATCTTTGTTTTCTATTATAAGGATAGTAATAGAAAAGTGGTGCAGCATGTGATAGTTTGATAAGGAGTCTGGCAGTGTTATTGTACTGAGCACAGCTTAAATGCTGGTGGTCTATTATAGCCATTGTACTATAACATCCAACACATACACTATCAGTGAACACACGTAAGACCATAAAAACAGTTCAATGTTATGTCTGACTGACAGGGGTGTCAGTTAATTCCAGAAAGATGTCCTTAAATGCTGACAGGAAATACCAGAAAGACACTCACAAAACATTGAAGTTTGGAGATGTATTTGTTGTGACTACCTGCCTATAGGTTTGTTTCATTTGCATCAGAGATTATAAAGGTAAATCTAGTAGTTTATGCCAAGGTATCTCATTTTGCGAGTTAAACACTTCCTCACGTACACTTTCTATTCTTCATGATGTTATTCTACCACTGAATACTGTTCGTTAAGGGTTGTGACAGACTTCAAAAAGCAGAACAATAATTATTTCTCACTTTACTTGCTTCATGACCACTATATAGTTATTTAAAAATATGTCTAGAAAGGTGCATGCTCTTAAGTATTTAAGTATTTTTAGCAGTTCACTCAATGGAAGGCTCTGAATTAATCAAATATCCTATTATTTTACTATTTATTTTGATTTAGTTTTATCTGTGTTGAACCTGCTCTGGCTTGTGATTGCATAGTTTATGAAGGTTATTATCATATTCTTAAATAATCACCTTTTCCTTCAATTAATTTTAACACTGCTGCTTTTTCCTGCGGAGGGCAGCAGCACTCTTGCTCTACTGCGTTTATTCACTGCATACCTTTTCTGTGAATACAGAAATAAGAATAATAGAATTTAGAATAGAATTTGTAAATGCCCTGATAATCTTTTCAAAAGAACATTTAAAGGGGAACTCCACCAATTTTACACATGAATGTTCAGTTGTCTTCACAAGAAGTAAGCATCTGTCTCTTGCGAATCCCCCATTTACTTAAGTACACCCTGAACAATATTAACCAAAGGACTTAATTGAAAACAAGAAAAGCAAATGCTATGAAATATAATTTCTGCAAAAACACCCACATCTAGAAGGGCACTCAGAGAGTATAGACCTACACCAAGGCCAAAGGCCAGTCTAACATTAAATGTAAGGCTGCAAGTGCAACCACTTTAATATGTTTGTATTGCAACTGACCTGTCTCGCAACATTTTGAAAGTAAAAAAGAATGTGTGTCTTCACCCCTTCATTTGGATCAAAAATGTTGATTTTCGAAAACAACAGTGAGTGAAAGGTCAGGCCCAGCAGGTTTTGGGCAGAAGCATTAAAGACATTTAACATGGGATGAATATAGCACAATTTTCATAATCTTGTTGTGTGGTTGACCAAAAACTTACTTGGAACCACTTACTCCTTGTTCATAAGTCATTTAATCAGTTGCACAACTGGCAAGTACTACATTTATTAAATACTCAACAGCAGTGGACTCAAACAAACTCCAGGAGGTTTCAGTCTCTCCTTTGAACACAGAGAGAAATTATGTGAATGATCCTATTCGATCCCGAGCAAGACAGCAAACACACCTCCTGAAATGTGAGTGATGAATTAGTACTGGCATTTGTAACTGCGATGTCATAAATCTCTTCTGACCTCTGATGGATTTATCACAATGTGTGATTATGAAGTATTGAGTCTTTATAATGTGTCCTTGAGTCTGTAGTCGTACTTATTTGAAAATTTCCACTGCATAGGAAATGTCTCAACATGATCTGCGTTTGGCCATTTAGCACTAGAATGGTGAAACTTGCTCTGCCAAACAATAAAATAATCCCACTGTTGAACTTTGTAAAGCTTTAAAGTGTTGTGGAGTTGATGCGTCATTAAAGAAAAGAAAGGACTATCAATGCATGCAGCTGGCACTGACTTAAAAACGTCCACGTCAAAGAAAAGCTGGATGAAAGAGCAGGAATGTCATCAGTGTTATCAAGGAGCCAACTCCCACCACAGATGTTAAACTGCGTTGGGCTGACATCACCACTTCCTTCACTTGATGAATCTGGGTGATCCTACACCACCCTTCCACCTTCTCTCAGGAATAACCAAAAGGAAATGTTTCCTAATATAACCCTCCCATGTCCATTTAAAGACTGTTTTCCTTTACCATCTGTCAGACCTGGGCTGCTCTAATCAGCACATTGCAGCCTGAAATACTGGGCAGAGGTCAAATGTCATTCCTTGTTCCTCAGCGATTCCATGTGCTCTGATCAACCAAGTTGTTAGGGCAGTTAAAACTCTTTTATAAAGTTACCCGGCACAGATAATCAAGTAAATTAATCTTGGTTGTTTCGGGAGGGAAGCAAGTGACAAGTTCTTGGTGATAAAAATGGTTATACTTGTGAGAAACTTTCTTTAGTATAATAAACCTAAGGGTTTGAGGATGTTTTTTTCTTTTGCTTTCTGTGAATACATAACTCTATAGAGATTAATTACTTCTGCAAGACTTTGACATCTAACACTTAGTTAATGTTTTCCAGGCATTCCATGTCCCAGTTATTTTATTTATCACTCACAGCTCATAACCAATAGACCAGGCATTATATGAATTATTTGTAATATATATCAGTGACCGTCTGGTGATCTTATTTCAGATTTTTGTGATACTTCAACACCTCAATGTTACATTACAAAAGAAAACCCAGCATATCAGTGTTAAATGGGACCACCCAGACAATGTCCAGCCTGCTCTGTTTGCTTTTGGTTTTGTCTGTTTGATGGCTGGAGATTAAGTTGTGGACACACCACTAAGACGTGCTGTCTATTTCAAAAGGTGTTATGTTGGATGAGAAAACAGTAGCCAGTGCACACTCCTGCTTGTCAGTGAAGACCTTTATTGTTGTGTCAGTGTCAGCTCCCATTTAGCCTGTGCTACCCACCATTTCTATTGCATGTCATCTGTTTCCATTCTAGGAATTAAGTAATGCAATAAGCGTTACACTTCCGCAAAAATAATTCCTGTCTTTTTTCTTTAGTTCCTCATTTTCTTTCTGACATTGACGTACAGCTACAGAGAGATAAAGTGTGTTTTATATTTCATAAACTATTCTTCACATTTTGTAACAGTTGCGCAGAGCACTTTAAGGACATTTACAAGGACAAGTACATTTTGAAAAATGATCTCTGGATCCTTGGAAGTATAGGAACTCTGAAACTCTGACTCAGCACTTCCATCAATGTCCCTGCTGTGCAAAAACTCTGTAACATCCTTCTTTTTCTTTTTTATTGAAGAGTAAACCAGGGAGAAGCTGTCTTTACCAGATAGCTGGCCTGAGTTGCTAATATAGGTTTATACAACTTGTTTCATGGAAATACCTATAGATGTTAGCTGCACATTCTTACAAAGACAAGAACAGTCCATGTGCTTTGAACTTAAAATAAAAGGAAGGAAGGAAGTTCAATTGTGAAGGCCAATTTGAAAAGCGTGTTGCACATGTTGCACTCAAATAATCTAAAAAAAAGGGGTACTAAAGACCAAACTTGCACACTCTTATTATAGTTTGGGGTATTTTGCATACTACGGTGTCTCTGTTTAAGCAATGTTCTCTCCAAAAAAACAATTCATCCCAATAATGAAGATAAAGTTGAGTATCCTGGAAGTGTTTTACTTACAACTATTTACCTGTTTCTGCTGCTGCACATTTTAGCTTATAGTCATTTTGCCATGCCAGAGGATCTACTCCTCTGTCTTAGTAGACTAATGTTAGACATATAGTAGAATTCATTTAATGACTGAAACAATTATGAGTCAAACAACTTTGCTGAGGAAAGATGGGAAACCACACATGGTGATGGGTTTAAGGATTTATTCGAACACAAGTAGAGCAGATACCTGGAAAGTGTAATACAGAAAGCAAATATAAAATCCCCCAAAACTACAAGATAAGTGAAAGCGTTTTTCAAGGACTTTCATAACATAAACCCTTCACAAGTTATATTTCTACTGCTTTTCCAACCAGTACGATTTCTTGCACTATTAAGCCATTTTTTCTCCATACTGTTGAGCAGAAAGTGATTATGAAGTACACACTACTCTACGTATACATGTTAGAATATACATATTACAATTTTTCAGACAAACATTTAAAATAACTGTGAATATAGGCCTTTTCAGAAACAGTTGAGAATAACAGAATGATACAGTAAGAAATGATATGATCAGACAATGTAAAAGCATCCCTTGCTCACGCAGGTGCACACATGCACACACACCATAGCATTTATTACAAAAACAATGTTACGTTTGATGCACCAGCAGTTTGTATAGATCATTAGAGATTGTCATTAGAGAAAGACAGTACCTTGTTTTTTTTAAACAGAAACTTGATTTCACCACTTCTTCCTGTTTAGAAGATGAAGAAGTCTGATTAAAGGAACAATACCTTTTGTTTTCAATACTGTCTGACATAAGGATTAAAAACCTTCCTCAATTCAAAAAGTTTACAACGTTCAAATTTAAAGATTGCAAAATAAAAACATGGCTCTCCAGTCATGTCCACAATGTGTAAAAAAAAGTGTCAAATGTGTAAAAACAACAACAATAAACTCTCAATAATTAGTAGAACTAGTGTCTTTAATCCTAACAAATTTTGACTTTATTTTACTTTAGTACTAGCCATGTGAAACAAATAGGCTTATTTGTTATGGTATTTTTTAGGCCGCTGCTCGAAAATGACATACCCAAAATAAATAGAGCATATCTCTGCAACTACATGGTCTATTTGAATAATTTTGGTGTCATAATGAAGGGAACACTTGTGACATTTGTTCAGATGTGTAAGTATCAGTATGTATGCCACTGGCTCAGAGTAAATTAAGATGGCACACAGCATAAATGAAAAGTTTCATTTCCGCCTAATAAAAAATTCACACCGATGCAGTTGCAGCTCTAAATCTAAAAAAATCAAAGCATAGCAACATATGTGGACATTATCTCTGCCAAGTTTGGGTCTTATAACGTGAGGTAGAGCAAAATTACAGAGGTTTTAGTACAAACTATTTAGGCGGAATCTCCAAAATAGCTATTTTGGCACATCTGGCACACATTGGTTACATTTTAGCACCATCTATGCCATTTGAAATTTTTTATATACCAAACTATATATTTCACTGTTGGGGTTCATCACATCCATTTACAACAGTTTTTGACTTATTTAGAAAAATCAACCAAGCCTCTATTCATTTTTCTAAGAAAACAATAGAAAGCACTTGCAATGGAAATGTGGCGAGTGGGTTGACTTTATGACGTTATACAGATTTTGATATTTGATAATTAGTTTGCTTGGTGTTGGAGTTGTTTTTGGTGTGTGTGAATATGACTTATATGTGATTGTAGCAGAGTTTCTCCTGATTAATTTAATGTGCAATATGACTATATTTTTACGTGATTAGTACAGTCTTTCATGCTTCTTGTTGCGACGGTTTAAAGGAATATCTTTTGGGAAATAAGTCTATTCACTTTGAGAAAATCGATACCACTCTTATGTCTGTTCAATATAAGCCTAACTTGGCAGATTGGAAACAGCCCAGCTCTGTCTAATGGTACCAAAAACTACCTACCAGCTCCTTTAAAACAAATTTTGTTACCTTTGAACATGGCTGTTGTCCCTTTTTCCAGTCTCTATCCTAAGTATTTACCATACAGACATACAGAGTGGTATTGATAAAATGAAAATGACCACCAAATGAGTCATTTACATAGTAGCAGAGGTGAGTCTAGATCTGATGCTCCCTGCACTGTTGACAGAGCCCTTCCTGTAAGCATTCTGGAGCCTCTTGCTGATGAGGCCATGTTTGTAAAGAGCTAAGAGCAGCTGGTTACGGAACTTCTGCCCAATGAAGGCATACAGCACTGGATTCACTGCACAGTGCGAGAAGGCCAACAACTGGGTCACATTTAGGATCACTACCAATATGTAGCGAGATTGACATGTCTCCATTTTAAGAGATCCGCCTTGCATGAGTGTGTCAATCAGTACAGTTATGTTATAAGGCAGCCAGCACAGAACAAATGCTATCACCACTGCCAGGATGACGCGTATGGCCTTACGCTTTTGTTGATTACGTGCGTGAAACAGCTTCACCAAAGTCCAGCCGTAGCAGACAGCCATCACCACCAGTGGCAGGAAAAAGCCCATAGTATGACGTAGAACACGAATGCCAACACGCCAGTGGTTGCTGCTTTCACCAGTTAGGTTTTCATAGCAAATGGCCAGGCCCAGGTCTTCAGCGTGCATGCTCTCCTTTTGAATTGCCACGGGTAAGGACAGTAGTCCAGCCGCCACCCACACCACACAGCACACAACTTTCACCAACAGGTGATGGGACCGGGCATGTGTAGCTCTCACAATGGCGCAGTAACGGTCCACACTGATGCAGGCCAGCAGGAAGACACCACTGTATACTGATGCCTCCTGAAAGCCTGACAGGAGTTTGCACGGGAAGTTGCCGAAGATCCAACCATAATGAACATTGACGGCCCAGAACGGCAGGGTAAAGCTGAAGAGAAGGTCCGCCATCGCCAGGTGCATCAAGTAGATATCTGTGCTGGCTCTACCTTTCTTCATATAGCAAACCACATAGACAACTACACTGTTGCCTACCATGCTGAAGACACACACGATGATGAAGGTGATCATCAGGCCCAAGCTATTGAATCCAGGCACATTTACACTGCAAGGAGATGAGTCATCTTCATACGCAGGAAATGTAAAATTTTCGAGGTCATATCCCTCTGTTGTCGTCAGCTAAATGAAAAAAGAATATTACAGTTTGTATAAGAAATACTGCAGTTTTGCCTCAGTAACCCAGGTTACTAGTAGCAGTATTGTAAGCAGGTATGTAAGACATGGTCCCTCCTGTAACTTCTCAATACAGCATCAGAATGAAACACAAGTGAACACTCCATATACAAACCTCAAGAGCTTTAAAGGAATAGTTGGAAATGTTTTCGGGAAATATGCTTCACTAACTAAAACAAACATGATATGCAAATTAGTGAGCCGGCTACTGGCTGTAGCTGTAAAAACATTAGACATGAAAGTGGTATTTTCTTATCTAATTCTATATGATAATAATATGACTATGCACACTTCCCACAGTGTTAAACTATGGACCCCCCACTCCATGGACTGCAGCTTATTGACGTCACAAAAACATGATTTCTGGGTAGTGAAGTCCTCAACATACAATTGATTAGTGCATGACATTACTCACTGCAGCCTCACGTGCACAGATCTTTTATCATTTGCTTCCATTTACCACAAATTTGAAATGAAAGAAATGACAAATGAAAGTTTTAATAAATTCAATACCCTAACTGCAACTTGAAAAATAAAAATTCAGGAATTCAGTTTACCTGTGTTCCTCCTTCTTCTTGATTGGTTACAACCAAATACTTTAAAACACTGACAATCAAAAGCTGCAGCTTCATCTCTCCTTTCTTCTTCAAGTTAACAAAAATAAAGCTATTTGGCAAAGAGTGTTGTCTTAGAAACGTGGTAGAACTGTGTGTGCAGTCTATTGGCAAACTGTATTTTCAAGGGAAGTGCACAAACCACAGATATTATCTTTCTTAAGCAATCTACATGAATGAGCCCTCCTTCAGGTTGTTTTCTTTATAAACCTTTACCTCTTGTGTTCAATGTATCAGGATGTTGCTAAGTTGAACCTGCAGATGATAATGTAACAGTAAATTACTTGACATGATGTGATGGTTTTTACATTTTGTCTCTCTAACACACTGAGTAAGGGGCCCAGTAACCATCCTTGTATCATAATAACAGGAGTACAACACAGTGACACCCATTCATTATTGTTGTACACCAAACTGTTACAAAGCTTCATTAGCAAAATCTTACGCAGTGCATGATGTTTTTCAATCTGGTCTCAGATTTAATCATGGAACTGAAACTTTCCTTATCAGTATATTTGTAGTTTTACATTTGTCAAAAAGATTTTGACTGTGGTTTTACAAGGCACAACCCTTGCCAAAGATTAATCTTTAATCTCTCTTGGAGGCCCCCATGTGTTGAACCGCCACGTTTCTACAGTAGCCCTGAATGGGAGTTGCAATCTGCAACTACACCTTTAAAAATATATTTCAGCATTAGGATTAATCAAAAAACTTCACATATGATAGTTAACAGAGACAATTTTTTCTTCTGAATGAGCTTACTTTTGATACTTTTACTTAAGGTTTGAATGCAGGATTCTTACTTGTAGTGGAGTATTTTTATTATTATTACTTTTACTTATGCAAATGATTTAAATACTTCCAGCATTGGAATCAGAGTCGTCGTTTACGCATACAAGGAATTTCACTCACTGTGGATGTAAAAGACACACTCACAGTAACATCTGGGTTTCCAAAAATGATCATGAGCATTTTCTTGTGCCCTCTCAGTTCAGTGTCTTTGACTCAATCTTACTTCTAATCCATTCTTCTTTTTCTTGTTTTACCAGTTATGGGTGCATATAGACATATCTTTACTTGAGTTTCACAGCATGAAACAGAAGGCTGTTTCTATGTCCGCAAGTTTGGAAAGCTGATCCAAGTTGGGGTTTTTTGACTGGCAGAAGTACAGCAAATTATACAGCTAAGTAGGCTTCATGTTTGTGCTGTACACAGGTAAGTTTTGGGAGAACAAAAGGACAGACTGTGTTTTTATACGCATGATGACATGAGATGGTCTTATTTTAGAGTCCAAACTCTTTTTCATTCAATGGAAGGCGTGTCAAGGAGCCTGGGACTTTGGGTTGCATTTCCAGGTTTCTATTACACTCAGCATGAGCCACAACAACCCAAACCCCAACATTATATATTCCCAAACCAAGTTTTAATCAAGGTTAACCGCTGTGCCATTTAGGATATTTCGAGCATTCAAGTCAAGCCTAAAATAGCATGCCTGTTCTCTCACATAGCAGGAAGGAGCCATGGAAATGTTATGCCAACCCGCACACTGGTGGTGTGTTTTTTTTGCGCCTGAAACAGGAGGAAGTCTGTTGTGAGTGTGTTTAAGAGTCTGAGAAAGGCTCGAGCTATCTGGTTTTCTCTGACAAAGTGACTCTTTTGCCAACATGTAATTCCCCTTGAGACTTCGGTTGAAACCCCTTTTAAAATCTAAGTTTTGTTCACAATGTGACCAGTTCATGGGATCTGAAGTGCAAAGATAATATTGGCCAATGAGCAAGTTACAGCATACATAACAGCAAGTTATTTATTTATTTTTTATGTAAAGCACCTTGTTTGTGTAAAAGGTGCTATGTATATAATGTTGTTGCATTTTGTTATGCTTAAAGTTACATTAATTTACTTTTTGACCACTTGGGGGCAGCAGAACAAACTGTAAACACAACAATGCTTTGGTGAATGTGAGCAGCATAACATTAGCATTCATTTGTGTTTCTGGCCACCTTAAAAAAGTCAGTCCAGAGTGCTCTGGTACCTTATCTGGTAGGACTGCTGCCCCATGTACTAAGGCTGAGTCCTTGCTGCAGCGACTCTGACCTGTGGCCCTTTGCCTCAGCGACTCTGACCTGTGGCCCTTTGCTGCCTCTCTCCTCTCTCTGTTTGGACCACCAGATATCTGTATCTAGCTCCACTGTGTTTGCTAGTTAGTTGCTAACTTTGTTTGTTTTGGTGCTGAGCAGGTAGCACAACCAGTTATTACTGAAAGCAGCTGACCACTGTGGCTGGAGTTTTTGGAGCCACAAAACCAGCATACTATATTTCACTTAAAAGCAGCAAAAAGGGCTCTTCAGAGCTGAGGGGCACTACATTATGAGCTACCCCTTTCACACTACACTGAGTCATTTAGTCCATATAAAAATATACTGTATCAGCACACAAGTGGTATGTAAAGGCTCACCGGTCAATGTGAAGATGCCATTTGTTCTATCTCTGCAGTAACTATTTCACAATGTGTCTCTACGTGTCCATGTTCTCATTAATGTCTCATTAAAATGTGTCAACATTTGTCTTAATGAGGTACCAAAGGGCTTGTTGTGCAAACAAGCTTACATATTTTATCAAGTACTTAATCACTACAGGACTTAATGGTCCTATTAATGTCTGTAAAATTTTACTAAACAATGGAAGATTAATTATTAGTTATATCAAAGTTTGAAGTCTGCTTAACTATCAGTAAGCTGTAAGTTGCTGCAAATGTTCATTGTCTTTGGACATAAGTTTCTTAATATTTAGCTGATCAGTATACCACAAATGTGTTCAAATGTGCATCCGTTTGAACCTTGTTAAGAGTTGGAATGATGTGATTTCACCCTCTGCCTTTAAAAAGAGTCATATTGGGTTCTAAGAACAATGAAATGTGTGTCGCTCTTACTTCAGAGGATTTCTAAAAGGAATAGTACCTGAGGTGTCAGGTGACAGAAATACAGCTGTACTTCCCACGTGCCCCGTCGCCAAATGAAAAGGAAACAAGCAGATTAGGTTTAGCGTGAGGGGAGGAGAGTCAGCGTTAAGCCTGCAAGCTATTCAGGACGAACACAATCAAGGTATTGCATGCAGCTAAAAATGATCATACTAGGTGGGGCAATGTGCGAAAGCCAATGAACTGAGTGCACAAGCCACATCGATATGACAGGTCACAAGAAATGTTTGGTTTCTCAATGAGCTGAAAGTGTTCCATATGCCTGTAGTCAAGTACATTATGTTCAGCAATTATTGTGATATTGACAGAACACCAAAGTCAGCAAAGTGGTTGGGGTTTTTTTTTTCTCATCAATGATATAATAGATTCACAGCAAATAAATCCCATAAGGCAACAGTCCAATGTGCCAGAGGACACAGAGGAAGAAAAGGCCCATCTGACAAAGACCAAGATTCATTCAGTGACCTGGAAACTTTATTCTCTGTTATCCAGTGGAACCAGTTCAACCTTTCTTCTTCATAAAAACAAATATTGACCTCTTGTAAAAAGACTGAGCATTGCTCTACACCCCTGGCATAATTGATGTGAAGGATTTACAGTGACATAGTATTAACTATATACACAGTTACAAGAGCATAACATGATGGATCGGAGATTAAACACATCAAATATTGTATGTATTATGAACTATTATGAATGCATTCATTGAATAAATGTCCTGCGTCAGTATTTGGTGACTCAACAGCATTTGTTTGCAATGCTCATGTGCTTCATGACTTTGCATAGAATACCTGTTCAACAAAGGCTGTTGACATATCTATCTTCAGTTTATTGTCACCCCTTCCTTGTTAGGGGAACATTGGTGCATTGTACACTAATGTCTTTGTCATTCTATAATAGCTTAACTTGGGCTTTAAGTGCAATCCTGCAAAACAGGACACAATAACCCTGCCCTTCCCTCTCTAATACACACATACTCATGCACACAGACACTCAAGAGGCACATGAACGTACACATACAAGCTCCTCAATCCAGAAACAAAAACAGCCCCAGGTTTTCTGAGCAGAGATCATGCCTGATTCCCTGACAAAGTGATTATGGGTGTCATCACTGCATCACAATATTGAGAAATACCTGTATGTTCATGTTTTCATTTTATATGAAGCCATCCAACACGACAATGTGCCCACACATGTTGGGACCCACATTGTGAGATACTCGCGCAGGTATAGTATCAGGTAGCAGGAACCAAGCAAGAAGGAATGAGCTTAACATGAGATGTTGTTTTTGTTCCTTAAACCACATGAGCTGGGTGGAACAAAGAGGGAAACCTCCCCGTTAGCCCAGATAGCATATTTATCCATTAACATGTAGCCATATGGCGCGGGCCATGGACTTTAATAATGTATTGGATTGCTTTACACAGACACTGATGATGTTACTGTGTGTTTATGGCTGTTTAATGCACAGTGAAATAAGTACTTATTTTAACATAAACCACTTCTAACTGTCAAATGTTTGCACTATACAGCAGCTTGTAACTTGAGAAGTTTACTACTTACTGTTGTCCTAGAGGGATGTCACAATGTATTCGTTTAATTCAGAGCTAATACCAACAATTAGGGTTAATAACAATGTTATCAATTAAATGTAGTAGAATAAATGTACTAGATTTGCCTTTAAATTATTGTGAAGTAGATGTATAAAGTAGCAGAAAACGGAAATACAACATAAATGGTACATTAAAACTGTGGGCCTACTTCAGTACAGTACTTGAGTAAAGTTAGTGTTAGCTTTGTCTGACCGGATGTGACAACTAAACATTATCACTGTGAAGAGTTCTACTTGGAGAGGACTATTTGTCAAGCAGTGAATAGTCATTGTGTGTCCTTTGATGGCTCATTGGATGAATAGGCCGCAGTCTTACACTTTAAGTCAAGTTGCTTGACTAAAAGAAAAAAAGCAGTGAAAAGTTCAAAATTCTTTTGGTGGAGGACACAGCTGCAACTATAAATCTTTATGTTATGAACAACTATTCCCCTTATGAACAACAATTCACCACACGGATAGATTTATTCAAATAGTACGGACCCATTGTGTGAGTCAGTTGGTGAGACAAGGTTTGCTCATATTGCTTAGATGGTCTGATCTCTTGTGGAACTG